TTATACAGAAACCATTCATTTTCTGTTAGTCGATTCTAAATACTCTGTAATGCGGTCATTCTCTTAAATGGTTTTACATTGTTTTGATATACTTAATGCTACAGTATACGAAGTTGTACTCAAGGATTTCAAGGAAAGAGACAATATGGTAACTACTTTTAGGTCAGGATTATCTGGTGGTGAAACACTATTCTGCTTAAATGGTTATGTTTTGATCTGTGCTGTTTCGTTGTTATGCCCTCTTTTATCTCAATCTCCACTCCATTATTTACTTTTTTAATACTTTTTAAAAAATTTTTATCCTTTTAATTAAAGGAAAAATAGCAGGATATATTATAGTAACCCACTTTGACTTTCCATTACCTCGATTTAAAGCCCTGTATTACTCTCACCATCTGGTTTTTAACTGATGTTCCCCTATTTTGTTTTGCTGGATAGTATCAGGTTCGAAAATTTAGGCATCAGCTGTGAAGATAATGAGATTCATTATAACGCCCATTCTCGTTGACTTTTATCTACTTTTGAAGACCTACAATGTCTCCAATGGTTTGGTTTTGTCGGTTTTGTTCTTTACTGTTTTGTTCAATTGTATTATAACTAATGGTATAGGCAATTATATTAGAGATAGCGGGAGGCATTATGGTAACCATTGTTGATCACCTTGTATTATGTTTTCACATTATCTATTATGTCCACCCTTTTGCCTTGACCGATTCTGTTCTGTTATGTCACATTTGGTTTTACTCTCTTCCAAAAAAGTAATAAGAACCGTGAGAGCAATGAAACCCAAAATGTGTAATAGTCATTGTACAAAAGAGAGGAAAAGAAAGTGCTCTAAACTATATAACTGCATGTATATTTAAGTGTATAAGATAGAATATGATATCAGAGTTTTATTGGATCATTGAACAGAACTGTTTGCAGTATCATTGATGGAATGTCCACTTTACAAGCTTTAATTTTGTGACTTGAACAATTATTTCTAAGATGACAATATGTAATTCATTAGTGATTTCCTACTGTTCATTTTTTTTCTGCAAATCTGTATAACTTGTACCCTTTCTCTGCTTTTTTTTTTCTTTTCTCCTTAAATAAAATTAAAAAAAAAAAAAAAGAAAAGAAAATGGCATGCTGACCAGAGCACATCCCATGGCAGGTCCTGAACTCTGTTATTTTTTGCTGGAGGTACTGGGGATCAAACCCAGAGCTGCCTTCTGCACAGTGAGAACAGTTATGGCTGAACAGTAATTTTAATCTGTGACAAAATACAAGTTATCTTTTAAGCATTTTCTTTAGAAATGGGTCTTCATATTTTGTTAGCTTCCCATTCCACAAAACCTGACAAATTCTTGAGAGAAAAACTACAAACCAGGCTCTCCAGGTTTCTGATTTGGTCGCTCCAACAGGAAACCGCTGGTTCTGCTGGATTTCCTGCCTTCCAAGAGTGACGCCTGGGAGGTGATGCTTCTCAGTCTTCTTCTCAGACTGAGAGCGCCAAGCATATTCCAGGGGAAAATAGCAGAATTCATCTCACCCTTTGGAGGTCTCTCACTTCTGCTCTAGCTGTTACTGCTTCAGGGACTAATGCATTTAATGAGTTTTATAACTTATCAGGCTGATCCAGCTGTTCTTGGTGGAAGTATTAGTTTGTAACAACCTAATCTACCCTCTCCAAACACCTGAATAACCTCCTCTATAATTTAAATGTGGAGACTTCCACTAATTTGCCTGCATCTCCAAGAATTGTGGACCTAGGCTGTAAAAATACTTACCAGGTTCACTTGAGATACATCTCCCTCAAATTTTTAGCCCAAGTGTGGCACCCGCCCCCCTTTCCCCCCAGTATCTTGTAAAAAAGATTGGTGTCTAAGGCAGTTTTTCTGGGTATAGTGGCACAAACTTGTAATTCTAGTGCTCAGGAGGCTGAGGCAGGAGGGCTACTGTGAGTTTCAGCCAGCCCTGAACTGAAAGGGAGATCCTGTTTCAAAAAAAAAAGGTCAGTTTCATGGTCCTGCTGACATCTTCAGTGGAAATGTTAATAAACAAAAGGGCCCAAAGTCAGTAAACATGGTAAATGGCTAGGATAAACTGGAACAATTAAAACAATGACAGAAAAACAAATCTCCAAGTGGCTAATAGGTATCTTTGAGTGTCAAAAGCAACATGTTAAGCAAGTATCCACTACCTGTTTCTGAATCCAATATTTTATTGTATTTTTAAGTATCACTTTAGAATTCTATTTTTAAAAGTTTTAGAATTATAATAGTTTGGAGAACAAGAGTCCCTCATTTCCAATGGGTGTCCCAACCCAGTGACTTAACTTTGTAGCATCCCTTCTTATCACAGAGTTGTTTATAGGCTTAATATAACACTGTGTCACACTGACCTCTGTATTCTCAGCTGCCAGTTCCGGGATGCAACAAACAATCATTAATTTCATGAGTTTTTATTTCATGGGTTTTCATTTCTTCTTTTTCACTCCACTGCTATCCTTTTAGCCTAGGTGCTTTTCACACTTGGAATATAAGAATTAGTAAACTACTTTCTTGCACACCTGACCTATTCTTGCCTCATTCCCCAAATACATTTTCTGTCAGTTCCTATCTACCTTGAAATATTTCCTATCAGAGGATGTTTGAAGTTTTTCACATTTTGTTAGTTTTTCCTGTTCAAAGCAGTATTTCTTAATTTGCTTCATACTAGTGATTTGGGAGCTTATTAAAAACATAAATGCTCAGACTATATCTGAATCAAAGTTCCCATGGGAGGGGCCTGGGCCTCTTCCTTGACTAAGCACTGGGTGATTTCTACAATGAGGTACTGGTGGGCCTTGTAGCAGCAGCACGAGCATCATCTGGGGATGTGGAAAATTTTAAATATTATAAAATTCTGATATATAGGATCAGAAACTTGGAGGCGGGGGCCAGAAATCTGGATTGACAAGCCTCCTAGATGACTATGATATACATTACCTTCTGAATGCCACTGCACTAGCCAGTGAGATGACTCAGAGTACCTCCAATTTGACTGCACATCACATCACCCAGGAACTTTAAAAAGTACTGGTGTCCAGACCTTTCCCTCAGCTATTCTGATTTAACTGGTCTGGGGCACAGCAAACATCTCACTGGGACACTGAAACTTGATGTAAGACACGATCTGCCACCCATAATTCATCTCACAATTATCTATCTAGATTTACCAATTCAATTTTAGGTGAGAAATTTGAGGAACTGAAATAAATTTAGGCCACTTTAGGCTGAGGCAAGAGGATGACAAGTTTGTGCCTGGTCTGAGCAAGTCAGTGACTCAAACTCTGCCTCTTAAAAAAAAGTACCATTGTCTATTGAAGTTCTTTGTAAGACTTAACTTATTCTTATTTAGAAGAAAAGGATCTGCTACCAATGAGTTTGGAAACCACAAATCTAAAGACTCAAGTTTAAGCTCTTTGTTTTATAGTCCTGAGACAAGTTTCCTGCCTCTCTTAGTAAATACCCTGTAGAGGCTCCACAGACAGGAAGGGAAAAGAAATCCTTCCCACCAAAAACCAACCAACGAACCAAAACCAAACTGTAGATGCACTATATTACAGTTGCATCTGAGACCCTGACAATCACCAGATCTTGGCTTCTGTTCCGTTATAAAGGGAGAGGTGAGAGCCATATTATCACTGAGGTCCCTCCTGAGTCCTAGCATTCCTATATTCAGATCTCCCAAATTTCCTGGTCTTGTTTGTTTTTCTAGGTTAACTCATGCTAAGGTAGTTTGGGTTTTAGTTACCCTTAAGATTTCTTCTGCACTCTGCCTGGTTTTTTAGGCATTTTTTGTGTCTGTGTCTCTTCTCCCACTAGGTCACAGAACCTCACAAATCTCCTTGAATCCCAAATGCCCAGCACATGACAGGTACACAATGTCTGCTGATTTATTAAAAAATCTAAAGGCTATAAATTCTTGCTTTTAAAATTTCCTTTATTTCAATAATAGCTATGCTGAAAGCTCTTTTTGGCCCTAATGAGCTTTCATTATTGTGCCAAAGGTACCTACCTCATGTATTATGTACCTCAGAAGTTTTTCATTTTGACGTTGTTTTTGCCAGACAGGATCTCAGTATGCAGCTCGTGCTGGCCTTGAACTTCTGACCCCCCGCCCCTGCCTCTCAGTTACTAGCATTACAGGAACATGTCACTATACCTGGCCTGGAAATTTTCTTTTATCTTGCGCAATCCTGTAGTCTTCAACTGATGATTTCTCTAAAAACAGCTCTCTTCTGGCCTCTGCTGGCATGATAGCAGACAACTGTTCCATTATTTACTTGAATGCATGTGGAACTTGAGTATAAGGACACTACTGTTTGCTAAGGAATTGTTATTACAGCATTAACTTAATACAGAGAAAAGATGTCTCAAATTGTGGAGTATGTTGAGAACAGATAACTAAATGATAGAATCTGAGATAAAATTCAAGTGTTTATTTCTGTGGTATTTTTCAAAATTAAATTCATGATTAATAAGCTAGAGAAAAGGCTGGAAGATCGTCCTGTGCATGTTCCTTTAAAAGAAAAGAGTTCCTTTACTCTTCTGCAGAAAATGCTTCAAATTTTGCCTGATACAGACACTGCACTTTAGAGAGAAAATACTTTATGTTTGTTACACAAATTATCTGTTATTAGATTTATGTAGCATTACTCTTTTTCTGGTAAATAAATTGTGAATTAAAAACAACGTTCTGAGGAATCTTTGTAATCTTTCCAAAGTTATTTGTTTTAAAGGGCCTAAGAATGCCCCGCATGGACTTAAAGTGCACAAACCAGATGCAGTTTAAACTGAGTTACTAACATACTGTGCCTAATGGCAGTGATCTTTCCAGTTGCACTAAGAGAATTTTTCACTGCATAGAAAGTCTTAGGGTATATTCTTCTGTTTCTCTTGGCTTTACTCTCAAGGGAACATATGCTGTCTAGACTCACCATTCATTCATGTAAAGTGTTGCCACTGACGATCTTAGGTTTCAGATGGTTTAATCAGAGTACCTATTTATCAAAGGCAGCAAAGGTGTTTACTTAAATGTTACATGCTGATATATAGGTTCTGTACAAGTAAAGTTTAAATCAGAGCTCAATATAAAAAGTTTGCAGACAATCTAACACTGTATGCAACTATATGTACTCAGTGACTGATACACACTAGACAGAAAATACAACCATCTATATTCTACAAATACTTTACAAATGTATAAAGCCCTTTTATATAATGTTTTAAAAGAAAAGTCTGAGAGTGCACTGTGTCGTTAATTGCCATTTACATCTAACATGCTCCGGCTGGCATGAACCCCGCTGGTGGTAGCAGCAGTATAGTCATGCATGTACCACTGGTGTTCCAAGTCACCCAGAGCAAGACATAATATAAATTACAGCCCTCCTGTGAGCATGCTAAATGCACCCTTCCAAATCAAGTGGTTTTTAAAAACTGCCTATGTTGGCACAGGGGTGTAGCTCGGTGGTAACGTTTTGATAAGCATGAATAAGGCCTTGGGCAGATTCCTGGCATTAGAAAAACAAACCCACTGATTATCTATTTCTTTATTTAAAGGAAGAGCTAATCAACAACAGATAAAAATGGAGGCCCTAGTTCACTGAATCTCATAAAGTGAGTGAAGATAAAAATAATAATTACAGATGAATTAGATGGCTGACAAACTTCTATCAGGAAGACAATCTCTGCTTAAGCTTCCCTTTAAAAAGCAAAATCTACTAAAGATACACAGATGGAATAGCACATTTTATTGTATCCTGTTCGAATTCAGATGCCTCTCAAGTTCCTGGTATACGGAGGCACTGCACAACAGTGGATATGAACTCTGATTCTGGAAGTATTCAAACTTCATCTGTAGCCATTATTAGAGTGACAATTCTGGCCACTGGAGGTAGCAAAATGACTGCAGGGAACATGAGAAGGTAAGGATTCCTAGGAAAAAACTTTTTTCTTTCCAGTACTGGCAATTGGATCCAGGGCCTTCACGCTGAGCTATATCCCTATTACTTTTTAAATGTTTTTGTTTTTGAAACCAAATGTTGCTAAATTGCCTGGGCAGGGCTCAAATTTGCAATCCTCCTGCTTCAGCCTCCCATAGTGCTGGGATTATAGATTTCTAGGAAACTTTTTTGAGGGTATAAAATTAAATAGCATTGCTTTCCTTTTCCTTTCTTCTTGCATAGAATGTGGGCATGGTTCTAGAGATGGCACAGTTATTTTTGAGCCATAAAGATGAAAGTCATATGCAAAGTATAGAAGAGCAAAAAGCCAGGAGAAATCTAGGTTTCCAAAGGCATCATGGAGCTGCATCAGCATCTGTGGACTGCTGATATACAGACTTCTAGGGTGAGAAAAAGTCACTGCGGTTTAATCTTCTATTCCATTTCCTGCAGTTTAACATTAGTAAGTGGTAACGAGTTCATGGGATTATTTGAGGATTGAAAGAGAAAAACATATGTGAAAAGCATAACTGTTGTTAGCATATAGTAGGAGCTTTTTTTCCCCTTAGTTTTATCTGTCAGATGAGGACAAAAATCAAACACAGAATAAACAATTTGAGAGGGAAAGAAAAGTACTGAGCAGAAGACTTAAGAGGGTTGCAGAAAATTTAGAATTAGATTGAGAGCCAAATAAAGCAAGCAAGTGGTATGACATGTAGTAGACACTAAACATCTGGAATCTCTTCCTATTCTCTGAGAACACAAACTCAGAGAACTGTGATCAGTAAGATTAGACTCAGGAAGAAGTTTTAGGAACTGAGAAGACTTTATCTATAAAATTACTCAAATTTACCAAGTCCTTCCATTCAGGGTTTCTTGTATGCCTGTTATATACACTGTAAGGATATGGATTAAAGGGACAGGCAAAAAAGGCCCTGGTAAGTAAAATGCCACTAAAAAAGTGACGCACATGGTCAGTTATCTTAATGACTCAGGCACTCGTCCTAGAGGAACAGAAAGTTGCTAATCAATAAATAAATCTATTTTAGAAGCTATTAGTCAACCCAGAGAAAGAAAACAACTGCACTCGAACACATGGACAGAAAAGGACTCCACAGATTCAGCTTGACGATTGCATCAGAAAAATAATACGATGGAAAGAACATGAGAAGAGCTGTGACATTCCGATCAGCTTTAGGCATAACGTCACTTTGCAGTTTACTGATATATAGTCACCTTAGAAAGTCGGTCCCACAATAGAAAGAAACTGGAGAGTTTACACTATTAATATTTAACATTTTGTTTTTTAAGACTTAAGTGTCAGACACTGATGTATCCTATTGAAGAGCAAATGATTAAGAGAATAAAAATCTGTAATGATTAACATGTAATCAGTACTAACCATAAATACAGAAGATGAAGTAAAAAAAAATATTTGCCAAAAACAAATCAGACGACTACCATATTTTCAAAACTATAATTATCAAAAAAGAGTAAACAAACAACTCTTAAATTACAGTGCAAAATTAAAGCACCTTATTGTTTTAAAGATGCAATAACAAGGAAATACAAACACATCCACATTTAAATACTTATTTGTGTGGTACGTAAATGCCATTTAAAAACATTTTTAATAGAAAACTGATTTGTAAGTCAATTTACAGAAGATTAAAAAATATCAATGTTTAATGCCAACTTCAACTATAAACAACTAAAAAGAGAAACAACTGCACTCTGTCCTTCTGTTTCTGCTTCAGCCTTTATATCTTCTGCTCCTTGCCTTTTGGAGAAAACATTGCATTGTAAGGCTGCCGTCTTTTTGGACGAGGACAAAGGTCAAGATCCTCCTTAATGTAACCTTTAAAAACATTAGAAATTTAGAAGAATTTATTTGCAACATACATTTCTTTCAGCATACGTCCAGTAAAAATTTACTTTATTTAGTACCTTATAAGTTTATACGGTTCTTTTGAATTTTAACTGCAATGCTGATGAGTGATTTCACTATTTAGCATCAGCTTCTTTTTTCTTTTTTCTTTTTGTAGACTGAAGACTGAACTGAGGGCTTCGCACTGAGCACACCCTTTCCCTAGTTTTTTTTTTTTTTTTTTTTTTTTTTTTTAATCTTGAGATAGGTTCTTGCTAAGTCAATAAATTGTCCGGGCTGGGCTTGGATTTCACATCCTCCCACCTCAGAATGCTGCTATTACAGGCATATGCCACCATACCTGGCAAGCGTTCTCATTTGTATTAACAATAAAAACAGCAAACACTTATCAAACCCTTCGTGTATGTCATCTCAAGTAACTCTCACACTTTACTGATGAGGTAATGAGACCCAGAGAAGGTGAATAACTTGCCTAAGTTCACAAAGCTAAGAAGTGGAAGGGTTGGACCCAAGTTCTAATTGCAGATCCAGTGCTCCCAGGCACTTGCCTATTCTGCTTTCCATAGACTACAAACTGCTACATAATGAACTTTACTACTGTGATATATTCCAAGTGCTTATTGGGGGGGGGAATAAAAAGATGCTTTGCGGTAGCTGCTTCCTGGCTTGACATGCCTGCCTCTGCACTTTCTAGATGGCCAGGACTCTCCTAAGGTGTCTCCACTCATGAAATTTTGAGGGGAAGATTGTGCCCTGGGCATACATGGTATAAACACAGAATCTAGCCAGATTGTCTGATTTTATGTGCGGATTGGGCAGAGAGCTTTCATGTCAAAGGAGACTTAATCTGACTTATTAATAGGAAAGTTGGAAACATAATAATAGCTGTCAGAACTTTGGACCTTTTAGAGAAGCCATCATTGAGTTCTCTAGACATGAGGAAAAGTTCCCTGTTAATGTAACTGTATTTCACCAAAAATAAGACCTAACAGGAAAATAAGCCCTAGCATGACTTCAAAATGCTCAAAATATAAGCCCTACCGCCATCAGTCAGATGGATACAGTTTGGATAGTTGTAACACATGACAGCTGTATTCAATTATAAAATGATATTACATATAATTAAACATGATTGACATTAATACTTAAATGATAATATAAATTATAATTAAGTATCTGTAAATAAACAAGTGCCTTTGGGCAAGAGGTAAATGCCTTTGTAAACAGATGAGTTTGAGACTCTCTGCTGATGACTAATCAGAGTGCAGACACAACACGCGATAATGTGCACATCTGATGATGATTACATGTAGCTGTGCTACTATGAATCTTCATAATTCAATACATGCTGTTACTATGGCACACTTAGTGCACTCAGGTGCCTATAATTTTTTGGTCACATTTGCATAGATTATCTTCCTTAACTGTCATCATTTTTATTGCCACTCCTGTCTTGTAAGTCTTCAATTAATACTTAATTTAATGAAAACTTTGTGAAGCCTCACCTGTAAGAAGTTGTTAGTCAGGTGAAGAATTCATGGGATAAAATCACTGACAACTATGTTGCCAATGTGTTACGAGTAGGCTACGTGGACAAGAAGTGTTCATTTAAGGACAGCTTGCTTACTGGGCAGCAGAGATTGGGGCCAATAACTCTACAGGAAACGGAGTCACAAGAAATTCAGGCTGGAATATGGGGTCTGGAGAGTTTTGACGATGTTACAGAAGATGATGACAGGACTATATCTGAATAAATGGGTTTTTTTTTTGTCATGCATAGATAAGTGTAGACTGTTAAACATGAATAAATGTAGATTGTTGTACATGAAAAAATAAGACATCCCCTGAAAGTAAGCCTTACTATGAATTTTAGAACCAAATTAATACAGACATGATCTTAGTTTTGGTGAAATACAGTAGTCACATAGTTGGGCCATTAGAATTCTTAAATGAGAACAGCATAAAAAATGGAAAAGGTGGTAATTTGATATCTAGGTGGTAATTTGATATTTAATGCTTGTGGGTAAACTTTAGATGTTTATTTATAACAAAACTACAGACTTAAAATCTGTAGGGTATTAATTAAATCTATCATAAACCTAAAAGGGAATTCATACATATCATAAACACTGTATTTTCCAGTTACATCTCAGGAAACATCACATCTTCAAAAAAATTCGTATTTTTAACCATAAGACTGAGTGATCTACAGATCATGGTAAGACTGAGTGGTCTACAGATCATGGTAAAATTAAGAAGTAGAGGGAAGTCTCTGCTTCTAATATATTTCATCTCTTATGGCTTTTATTCTAGGCAGCTTCTTCACTGAAGTATATTCACAACATACGATAAATTACGTAAATTTAATGTGAATATTTATTCCAAATATTATAGGATGATTTTTTAAATTTCCCTAAAACATAAAGAGTACAGAGAATGCCCAACTTGGTATCTGTATGAATACTTCCATTATGTGCAAAATAAGAAAAAGGTCTAAGTAATGTAGTAAATGAAATCTGGAGTGAAAAGGTCCCTTCATAAACGATAGCGCTTATGAGTTCCTCTCAAGTATATGCACAATAAAGGGTTGTGAAATGGATGCTGCCTAGCTGAATAGTTCTTTTAAGGTTAAAAGCACAGTATTAAGGCTCTAGAGCATTTCATTTCATTTAAATTAATGGTTAAAGTTTAGATCTTGATTACTATGCATGATTATATTGTCCAAATATACTCATGCTTGTGATGGGAAAATAACTTAATATCATTAGACAACTTCATTTTGTGGACACCATAATATACATACACAAATTAAGATAGTTACATTCTCATTGGGAGATGCATTTCAGATTTTCCTTTTTTTTTTTTCTTTTTTTTTTTTTTTTTTGTGACAGGGTCTCAGGCTGGCTTTGAACTTACTTATATAGCCCAGGCTGGCCTCAAACTCAAAGCAATCCTCCTGCCTCAGGTTTCCAAGAGCTAGGGATTACAGGTCTGTACCACCATGGTCAGCTGGGAAATGGAATTCTATAAAATCACCATTTCCTGAATTCTATGTAACATGAATACATGGAAAATGTTCAGACTGCCAGTCTTCACCTGAGCTAGGGAAGAAATGGGATTATATTTTACCAAAGATGGCTACTGTAACATGAGGACTTCAGAACACACCTAATCAACTTTGGGAAAAAAACAATATAAATCCAGGCAAGTGTGTAACTACATTTTTTAGCACTGGGTTGCTAGAGAACAATAACGATGGTAATACAGCAAGAACAAAATGCACTGCTCATGACCTTTTAATAGTTTTAAAGTTACACATGTTCTTAAATTACATTAAATGTAAGCACCATGCAACAAGCTGACAAGCATCTTTGTAAAAATGAAAATAGGGTCTATAAATACCCAGTGTTCTGGCCGGTTAAAGTCTAAAGAGTCCATAACTCAAAGCAATAGACTTTTAAAAGATGCTCCCTTTTTAACAACGTAACTTTGCTACTACTAACTTTTACAGTTAAGACTTTCTGATAACAGGATGAAAGGAAAATTGCTTTTTGACACCTGAATGTAAACCATGATAATACAATGTCAGATCTCAATTAAATTAACCGGAGAGATCAAGGTAAATCTTTTATCTTTAGGAATTTTTATGCAACAGAATTAGCAGCCAATCCACAGCAGAATCACAGAAAAAAAGATTAATGCTCATACTTGGGAATATACAATATTTTAAAGAATTAATTCTAAAATGTTACAATCTATACTCTTACCTCTTTCCATACAAGTTTGAGTGGAAGGAAAACCAACTTCCCAGAAATTCTCTGGTGTGTTGGGTGGAATATAGCGAAATCGGTGTCTTGAGCAGGAAGCCAATTTCTTTTCTCTTTCTTCAGCAGGCATATCTGCGTAATACTGTTAGAGGAAGAGTAAATGGAATGGCCTTCCTTACTGACTGTAAACTAAACAATTCACTTATTAAAACATTCTGTCTTCTATGGAAACAATACTGAGGATAGTATCAGTAATTAATACTTACAAACATTATTAATTACTAACAGTAATCAGTGCTGGTACTGGTTCATGCAAATGTTTATTCCATGAATGAGAAAAATATAAATAAATATACAATGTGAATTTATATTCACAATGTAAATAAACATCCTGCCTCAGTGTACCTAGTGTTACAGCTGATTCATATACTATATAAATTCTTTTGCAAGTCCAATTAAAAAACTTCAGAGGTTTGCAGTTTTTTTCAGTTGTTATGTGAAGTGTTTCAAGTAATTTGTTCATCTCTAGATTTATCCACCCATCCATTAGTACTGGGGTTGGATCCAGAGTTCTGAACATGCTAAGCAAGCTATCACTGAGTTCCATTCTCAGACGCTTTTACGATTTTTTTATTCTGGACAGAATCTTGCTAAGTTGCCCAAAGTGGCCTGAAACTTGTGATCCTCCTGCCTCAGAAGCTGGGATTATGGGCATGTGCTACCGTGCTTTTAGAGTATTTTATAAGAAAAATTCAGACTTGGAATATTGTAGGATTTATGACTTCCTCTGTGAACTGTATTTTTAAGTTATGATCAAAGGCACACTGTAATCACGACGACCTTGAACTTCATGCAAATATGGATAAAACTTGTATGTGAAACTATATATAAATAGGTCTTCAAGGTTGAGACCTCAAGAAAACAAAGCAGAAGTTCAGTCTAATGCAACACAGATGAAGGAGTTACATAATTCAGCAATGCCTTCATTTTACACTTGAGAAGATGAAAACTGAAGTGATAATTTACCAAAGATATTGCCTAAAGTAACAGACTAAGGACTAGAACTTTAAGTTTGAAGTAAAGGCTTTTGTTAAGTTTTAAATTTTACATGGATTAAAGGCTTCCACAGACTTTCTGAATTACCACTGGTGAACTACAGTTTCATCATTGTCGCTGCCCTAACTACAACTTTCTGTTACCTTAGTCTGAGCTTCGGGATGGAATAACATTAGACATGGTTTACTGGAAAAAACACTGCGCCAAACTAAGACACATCTGAGATACGACAGCAGGCAAGTGCAGTGCAGCTACAGCACAGAGAGCACATGGGAAAGCAGGAGAACGCAGGCAGGAAGTAGGTACCACGGTTTGCTGTCCCTGGTAAAATCATCTGGATTCTGTTTCTTAGTAAGGAGACAAGAAAGGTTTGGAGCAGAGAAATGACATGATTTAACTTTTTATTTTAAAAAGATTCTTAGGGCAAAAAAATCCAAAAAAACCAAACCCCACCCCACCCTTTATTCCTGTGTAAAAAGTACTGTGAAGAGACAAGAATGAAACAAAGCCAGAAGTGGTGTCACACGACAACTCTGTACTTTCTGCTCAAGTCTGTTGTGAATCTAAAACTGCTCTAAAAAATAAAGTTTATTAACAAACAAACAAACACAACAAGAAAATCACTTGGAATTTCCTTTTACAGTACAGACAGAATAAAACAGCGCCTTAGTCCAGGGCATGGTGGCAGTGGTAAGAGGATGAAAATGGCACGCTTTCAAAGCAGAGTCAACAGACTTTGCCTGCTAGAGCACTTACTGACGTGCACAAGAACACAGTAGAAAACTAACAGATCTTTTGCTTCAACGATCAAAAGAATGAACATACAGAAGTCTAAGCAGTGACATTTGGGAATCACAGGTAGAAACTGTGTATTTGCTTTTGGACATGTGAAACTTGAGGTTCCTGTCACACATCTACCTGCATGTCACACACTGCACATATGGAACAGGCAACAGGATGAATTTAGGAATGGTGACTAGCACTTAAGTCAAGAGGCAAGCATTTACATGTCTGGTCATGACGGAGAAATGGAACAAGTCACCATCCTACCTTAAATAACTAAAATAATAATAATAATAAACTACATGAAGTGTGCAAAACTATGGCTTTCTGAGACTTGGACAACTGCACAGAACAACACTGAGAAGAAGCAAATTAATAGAGTTTCTAGCACCAGAGCTGTTTCTTAACTAGCAGGATTGGTTCCAAGTCATGAAAAATTATGGTTAGAAATAAACACGAGATATACTTACGAAGGCCATATTTTTTTTTTTTTGTCTTTTTCATTTTTATCGGTACTGGGGATTGAACTCACGACCACCTGCCTGCAAGGCAGGTGCTTATGCCGCTGAGCTAAACCCCCAGCCCGAAGGCCGTATTTTTTACAAAATCGTACGCAAGGTATGTTATGAAAACTCATTGATACTAATGACTTTTGCTTGTGTTGCCAAACTGCTTTTTTAACACAGCAATCCTGATTTGTATTTCCACTGTGAATGTTTACTTTTGCCAAACGCTTATCTACATGACCGTCTATTCACACTTTCACAATAATTTTTAAGGAGCTGGGTTAGCACATTTTCTAGGCTGTTATGGTATGGATCTTAAATGTTCCCTAGAACTCACGTGTTGGAGGCTTGGCCCCCAGGTGATGGGACTGGGAGGTGGCAGAACCTTTGGGAGGTGCTGTAGGAGGAAGGACGCCTTTGGGGACGTCCCTGAAGGGTATCAAGGACTCCTTGACCTCCCCCTACACCAGCCATAGTGAAGTGAGCAGCTGTGCTCTGCCACATACACTTCACTAAGTTGTTCTGCCTCTCTGCAGGTCCAAATGACTATGGGCTGAAACCTCTGAAATCATGAGCCCAAATAAATCCTTTAGGTTTTTGTCACAGATGTGAAAAGGTGACTGGTGCAGAACCTATAGGTGTTAAAAAGGAGGCTTAAAAAGAAAGTAAATTTCTAGAGGCAGGCATCAGATAACTAATGGCAGAAAAGAAGCAAAAAGAACAGATTTTAAAAAACTCGAAGCTCTCCCAGGATCAGTTAATACTAACACAACTAGTATTGTACTAACTAGTTCAACATCTAAGACAGTCAGTATATAAAAGGGACAATACAAGCCTACGAATTAAGCAATGTTTACTCATCATATTTTATTTAGAAGGCAAAAGGGGGAAAAATAAGAGGTTGCAGTGGTAACCTATTACTATTTTTTAATTATGAGTATATCTAATTTTCTGAGTGTGTCTGTCAAAGAAAGAAGTGTCTGTCATTTAAATATTCCTTCTGAAATATCAAAGTTTTCTGGAAATTGTACATGTGAGGGTATGCTCCTTTGCAAATACAGAAAAGAAAAATGGCATGAATCTCTTGAACTGATCACATGAATTAGGGTTCTGGCCTCAGACTACTGTTTTCATTTTCACCTACTTGTATCTCTTAGGTCATAGCCAGTGTACTTTTTATTCCTTCTTATTTCCAGTTCAAACAAGGTTTCTGGATACATAAAAACCATTATAATCTATAACATCATACTTTAAAAAAGTATTACTTACAATTTCACATTCCTTACACGTGTGCCCAAGCAATTTTCTTCTCTCTTCTTTTTTCCGAACCACCTCAATATGAGGAAAATTTCGTAAGCTAGTCTCTCTGGGGGGGAAAATGAATTTAAAATTAACTTATTTGCTATTACAAAGATCAAGCATGTTAAGATTTGAATTAACAAGGGCTGGGGGTTTATTTAGCTCAGTGGCACAAGTGCCTGCCTGGTTGTGAGTCTGATCTCCAGTACCAAAAAAAAAAAAGATGTGAATTAACAAAGTCAATGCAGGAGAAATAATCCTGAAACATTTATTATTCATTTTATTTAAGATGTTTATTCAGATGTTATATGAGAAAAGTATTTCTCCAAATATTAAACACCTACTATATCCAAGAAAATTTTCATGTGCATTTGTGTGCATGTGTAGCACCACCAAGAAAAAAATGCCTCAGTTTTTCTAGTATGAAGAACCCAGATTTCAGGCTAACTTTTCCCTGTTCAAAGAACAGATCCATCTGTTTATATGCCATCTGCTATTTTGTCTAAAGGACATATTGCCTTTGACTGCCTCTGCCCATCCCGAGCTCTTTAAAGTATGAACACTGTTATTATTTGTGCTTCTCTTTAAATGCACCAGACTGTGAACCACTGGAAACCTGGAAAGAGTCAAAGCCACTGGGACGTGGATTAACGTCATACATGTTAATGTGTTCTGGAGTAGTCTGGGAAGAAGAAATACACCGAAATGCAAAATTGTTTAAAAAAAGTACTTGTACCTGGCTTTAAAAAGACTGTTATCTAGGAGCCAGAGATACAGCTCAGCAGCACAACACCCACCTAGCAAACATGCGGTCCTGAGTTCAACTCCCAGTTCAAAAATAAAAGCCTACATACATAAACTTACAAGATGTATAAATGAAAAGTTACAGATATATTCTGTTTATAAAACATTCCCAGGGAGCGCTGGGCATGGTGGCACATACCTATAATCCCAGCACTCAAAAGGCTGAGGCAGATGGATTGCCACACGTCTGAGGCCAGCTGAGCTACATAATGAGTTCAAGGCCAGAATGAACTACACAGTGAGAGCTTGTTTTACTTCTCCCTAAACACCCCTCCCTTCCAAAGAAAACATTCCCAGTGAGATTAAATTGTCTGAGTCACAAAATCTGATGTTTAAAATGACTTGTTTATATTATATCTATACCTTTGAGATATTTGGATCATATTGTCCCTCTACTTGGCAAGAACCCCCTTTCACAAGTAGTTTCAATTGTTCTATTTTAAGTATATGAACTTGTACTTATTTTAACTTGAGAACTCAATTTTGGAGCAATCTGTGGATTTATAAAGGGAGACACTTTAAAAAAGGAAGGATAAAAATATACTGCCAAAACTGTACCTTCCCCCAGTTTATGGAACCTAAACTTATGCAGAATAATTTTGGCTATCTCTTTTCCTCTGAATATTATCCATTCTATTTCTGAAGTATACTATAATTTAGAGAATCTACTAGTAAACTGGCATCCACAGCAGAACTTCAAGAAAGCATCACCTAAAGGGTTACCAAGCTTCTTGCTCTGGTTGCTAGAATTCTTAGTTTGGAAAAGCAACAAAGTTAACTCAGATCTCTACTATCCCTATACCTTTATTTACTTTCTATTTCTCTAGAATTCTAATTATTTCAGATAAGTAACACTGGTAAATTTTTTAAAAAAATTTCATGAACTTCTAATATGAAACATTTGAGGTGACGTTCTTAATCTATAATTCTACTTATAGAAATATATCCTGGGCTGGTGATGTAGCTCAGTGGTAGAGTGCTTGCCTAGCATGTACAAGGCCCTGAATTTAATCCCCATTACCACAATATATATATATATCCCAAAGATGCACAAGCAATATTACGAAAAGAGAAAGAGCAGGCTAGTAACGGCAGCACTCCACATGTTGACATAACCATGAACAACCCAGCTGTCCAGTGCTAGGAGATACCATGGTATAATCATGTAATGAAATACTATGCAGCTAAAAAGATGAGAAGCATTATATACAATAAGTGAAAGGCAAAACATTTTGTGCTTTTTTTCTTCATGATATTGACAAAATGAATCACTCATTAACAGTGACTCTGTCCTCCTTTCCCCTTGGACAAATGGCAATGTTATATAAACCTTTTCCTACTTTGCTTTCTCTTTAACTATACTGTACTACGCTTGAATTCAATTAAATAAATAGCACACAAATGAAAGTAACAGAATCCTGTCTATGGCCATACTACATGTGAATGTGCCCAATCTTATCTGAAAGTAACAGAATTTGTGAAGCTTGTATTAGAGGCAGAAAGCATGATGGTTCAAAATCAAGATGCTTAAAAGGTGCTTTTGTTGTTTTAAAGATTTAAAAATCCTCATAAAATAATCCTGAAGTGGGACAACCTCAGATTCAACACCTAAGTATTATACTATGTAAAAGTTAGAGAATATAATTTCCAAAGTTCAAAATAAAATAGAATAAAAATACAGTATTTGCTATCAAATAAGACAACAGAGAAACTATGAAGAGAATTTAACAAAAGAGTGTTGCTGGTAAAAAAAATGCCCTTTTCTGTAAAATGTCACTTTTATTCTTCAGTCCTTTTTGGCTATGATCAGAGTACAGTATTCCATTCTAATCAACGTAGTGACTTCATAGCTTTGAGACACTGAGAGAAAGACAGTTTTGTTGTAATTTCAATCACACTGCTGGTATTAATCAAAATCACTTACCTCTCATTATCTTTAAAATATGGTTCCACAAATGCTTTCTGCTTGACTTTATCATGTTTATCATTATGTGCTGCAAATAAAACAAGCATATCACAAAACAGTGTAGAATTTAGTAAGAAACAATCAGCCTGTTTGGAAAAAAATTATAATAGGTACCAAAACCTTTTTTAATGAGATTCATACTAAAATCCCCCAGGCAACTCATTTAAATTTTTGGTTACTACTTTGTCTCTTTTTTATCTGCGTCAGAGGATTCCTACCTTACCTCAGTTAACAAACAGCCAAAAATCCCCCCTCTGAGAGCATTTCAGATTTCAACAAGTTCACGGTGGGGGTGTACTTTGTATGCCTCACCACCAGGCAGCTTCAAACACCAGTGGTACAAGCATGACTGTCCCAGTGGGTGGCTTTTCATTCATGTTTTTGGTGAAAGGAACAATAAAAGTGATTAGACGTGTTTGACCCACCAGTAGTACAAGCCATCTAATGGGCCAGTCATGCATGTACCACCAGTGGTTCAAGCCGGTGGGAACATTTTAAAAGAACCACTTAGATGTCCATTACCGTTTGGCAAGAAATGACAATAGTCAGCTTTTAGTAGGTTTCTTTTATTTGCCCTATTGCCTTTTACATGTCATTAAGGTATATAATGACTAGAAAATAAGGAAATCAAAGCATTTTATCAGAACAGTGGTAAGGAACCTTAACAATTAAAGTTCAAGGTTTGGGATCTAAATTGCAAAACACCTAGATTCAAATACCCAAATGTATTAAAAAAGCAAAATTTACTAAGGACTGCACTAAGTTCTGGACATACAACATAGAGACCAAGTCTCCTGTCCTCGCAGTGCCTGCGCTGCAGTGAGGGAAATGGATAGTAAGCAAGTGGACAGTTAAACATTAAGCAGTTAGATAGTTAACATTTAGAAGGTACAAACTGATGAATGTCAAGCCAGCATGAAAAGAGGTGGAGTGGGGAGCGCTACAGGTAAGGTCCTGTGATAGCAAAAGGTCTGGGATATCATAGGAACCACAAGGAAGCCAGAGAAATTAGATTTTACCAGGGTGGAGAGTAATTAGAGGTGGACAGGCAGCGAATCACAATGGTCTTGGATCTAAGAGGGTACAAATGTTCTCCTGTGTTTCTCTTCTGCTCTCTTTCCTTCCCCACATACAGTGACCCATTTTCTTTCATGAGACAGTACAGTTATGGCTGTCCTGGAACTAAATAATTACATATAGTGTGCTTGCCCTTTTCTTGTATTTGTCCACCTCAAAAGGTAGAAATTCATCCATGTTGCTGGGTCTAGCAGTTTCTTCTCTTTTGTTGATGAGCAACACCACATGAAATAAATGTACCACAATGAATTTATTCCTGTTGATGGACATTTGTGTTCTTTCCAGTTTTGAGTTATTACAAATATATACTGTATCAATCTTCCTAAACATCTTTTTGTGAGCACATTTTAACTTTTCTTGGCTGATACACACTGGGGTCAAATTGGTAGGTGACAGAACAGACATATGCGTAACTTGATACAAAACTAACAAACTTCTATAGAGCTGTTTAGAAAGTAATACTAACTCTTTCCCAAAGTAACAGTTAATGATTTTGTACTACCTTCCTCAATGTATGGGAACTTCAGCTGCTCTTCACTATTTCCAATATTAGATATTATCTGTCTCTTTAACCACACCAGTGGGTGTAAAGTGGTATTAATTCCTGGATGAGTGATAATAATGAACATCTTTCTATACACTCACTGGCCATTTGAGCATCTTCTCATTGAGGTCTTTTTTGTTTTGTTTTTTGGTTTTTCTTGAGACAGGGTTTTGCTATATAGTTCAGGCTGGCCTTAAACTCACAGCTATCCTCTTGCCTCAGCCTCCCAAGTGCTGGGATCACAGGCATGTGCCACTATGCCCTGCCTTACTAAAGAATTTGTAAGTAAAAAGATAACACAATCTGATTTACACTTAAAATAGATCTCTCTTGATGCTCTGTAGAGCAGAGGTTGGACAGGAAAAATAATTGGTATAAAAAGACCAGTTAAGAGGCCTGAAGTAGAATAGTGAGACAGCAATAGCACAGACTAGGGAGGTGGCTGCCGAGAGTGAGAGAAGTAAAGTGATACATAGGTGTTTAGTCTGGAAGGCTAAGGAAAGCATTTGTAGCAGAAAATGGGTGTAAATTTTCTGTAAGACTTCTTTTCTATAGCAATTATTAACAGTAATTTCTCAAAACTATTAAAAAATTTATGTATATATTATAAAGAAATTTATAACAATGAACAAGATTAACTGCTTTGCTCTCATAAATCTTTTATGGTTATGTAAGATGCTAACATAAATGGAAGCTGCAGAAAAGGTATAGGAGAGCCATCAGAACTGCTTTCTGGAACTCTTAGTTTGAAATTATTTCAAAATAAATAATACAGAAATTTACACAAAACTTTGTTAATACACCCTAGTAAACCTCTGATACCTATTCTGATGTCTTAACTAGCTGAAGTTGGTATAATGGAGAAGCCATAATTAAAGAGAAAAAAGTCTTACCAATTGGTTCCCTTACGGCAGCAGGTAATTCCTCTAGCTCATTTACCACTTGGGGGAAACCGTCTGCCAAACAAGATTCGTATTCTTCATGTGCTGTCCGATCAAACATATCTTCCAAGGTATCATTCATCTTTCTTTCTCTATCTGTATAAAAATGCATGGGCACAAAACAAAAAGCCAGATTTTTGTTTTCCATGTAGACCAATATGAAACTGTAGTAACTGCCCGAAAATAATGCAAGGTCTTTTAAGATTCTTCTTTAAAACCCGAGTTGCACATGTGGGCTACAGATTTTACTTTGACGGGTTCTCTTTCAGTGAATAAGCGTATTAAGTCTTTGTAAACACATGTGTAAAAGATGATTCTACAAATGTCAGTTGAGGCCAGGAATGGTGGCACTCTCCTGCAACCCCAGCATTCTGGGAGGCTGAGGCAAGAGACTCACAAGATCAAGCCCAGCCTGGCAACTCAGCAAGTTGGTGAGCCTCTGGCTTAAAAAAACAAAAAAGAAAGAAAGAAAGAAAAGAAAAAAGAAAAAGAAAGGCTGGAACAGTTTGTGTGAAGGTCCTAGGTTTTCAATTCTAGTACCACCCCCCCAAAAAAATCAGTTGAAAGCTGTCTTGTTAAAGCTTATTAAAGAGTATTTATGCAGTGAAGAGGGAAAAAAATTATATGCAGTAAGGTGCTTAATATGTATTGTAAATTATACTGTTATAAGTAGAAACTCAGTGACTCAATAACTAATATTCGTAACGTAATAACAATTCTTACAACTGGTGCATGAGGCAAGAATAAACAATGTTTTGTAAGTTAATGTTAAGACTTTAACTGTCCTTTTCTCATGTGAGGAGGATGCTTGCTTAATTTTTGTTACTGTCATATAACTAAACCCCTTACAAACATTTAAGATTGTTTCCTATTAGCTCCAGTATAATTCACATATTCTTACCAAAGAATCTATGAAGAAATGGACATATATTATAATAAATAATGACAAATATTGTTTAAACAAAAAGTATACATTAAAATGTCTAGAATTTTACTTATTTTATGTCTCTAATAAAGAAGTTTTTCTTGCATTATCATTAACACCTAGTAGTTTAAAACTGAACTAAAAAATGAATTCAGTGCCCTATTTGATGTGTGAAAGTGCTAAATTCGTCTTTGAAGTTCTAACTACATTTCCTATTATATAATCATCTTTTTAAAAATACCAGAGTTTGCTGGGGTGTGGTGGCACATGCTTGTAATCCTAGTACTCTGGGAAGCTGAACCAGGAAGACCGCATGTTTAACCCAGCCTGGAAAATTTAGTGAAACCTTCTCTTAAAAAAATAATGTAGTTGAACAGATCTGTCTGCAGTCTCACTGTTTGAATGTCCACTTTGTATGCTTTTTGTAACTTGAACAACTATTTCTAAGAGGACAATATGTAATTTATCAACTAATGATTTCTTACTGTTTATGTTTTGAAATTATGTATTATTTCTACTCTTTCTCTGTTTTTTATTGTTTAAATTAAAAAAAAAAAACAAATAATGACAAAAAAAACCCACCAGAGTTTAAGAAAAACCAGCAACTGCGAGTTTGAGACCAGCCTGGGCTACAAAGTGAGCTCAAGGCCAGTCTGAACTACAAAGCGAGACCCTGTCTCAAAAAAAAAAAGAAAAATCAGCAACAAGCTGAGTTGCTAACAAAATGAACAGAATAGTGGCCAGAGATTATTTTTCATAGGTAACTACCACCTCTCCCAATTCAGGGAAAATCATAATATAAAAATTATACTTTTAAGCAAAACTGCAGTTTCAGAATACAAAACTACCCAAAGTTATGCTTTTTTTCCCTTCCAAAAAATTCCTAAGGGTCTCAAAGATAAAACAAGCAGGTGAAAAAAGTCTCATTTTTCCTTTTCTTTATATTAATAGACTTTTCTCATTCACCTGGTTGCAGGCAGGCAAATAAATCCAGAAACCAAGAGAGCTGGGGCCAGGATCTAGGCCTAATGGAGCCCTAACAGGTAACATGTCCTTTACATGCTATGCAAGAGCTCTTCCACTGATCCACACTCTCAGCCCTTTTTAATTTTTTGTTTTTAGATAAAGTCTTGCTAAATTGCCTGGGCTGACTTCAAACTTATGATTTTTCCTATCTCAGCCTCCTGAGTAGCTTGGAAGACACCAACCTAGATTCTGGAAAGTATTTTTTAAATTAAAATATTAGCAATAATTGAAAGTTTTCATTTTAACCAATTCTAAGTGTGAATAGGGTTTTACTGTATGGGGCAGAGGTTTTTTTGTTTGTTTTGTTTTTCAAAATAAGATAGTACTTGGATCACAGTGTGTAACATTTTCAGCCCATAATCAGCTGGCTCCGAGGCAGGGTGGCATGGCAGAGGGACATCACAAAGGAGAAGACAGGCAGCCATGACAGTAAGTGTCAAGCCTCTTTCTGTCCCTTATATCTTTGGGATCCAGACTACCTGCCTTTAAAATGGGCAGCACTCACACCATTAATTTTAGCATTGCACCATAAATCAATCCCAGCGTCACACACTCTGGATCTAGACACCTCTGAAAAGCCTCACCTATGACCACTTGAGGCTTTGTGGGGGGACATCTAGACATGAGCCATAACAGTGATACAGAGTTTACTATTAATTGGTACATTGGTATAAATACAAACTTCATTCCACAGTTTTTTGTTCTTTGAGACCAGGGCTTGCTACGTAGTTGAGGCTGGCTTTGAACTCACTATGTAGCCCAGGCTAGCCTCAAACTTGTAGTGATACTCTTGCCTCAACCTCACGAGTACTGGGATTATAGGCATGTGCCACCATGCCTGTCTCCACACTTTTACTACAAGTTTGAAAAAGCAAATCTTACTTGGACTTTTTTCTCCTTTTGGCTCTTGTTTCTTCATCTTTAAAAGCAAACTTTCACTGACCAATGTACAGTCCATGTCTACTGTCTCTCCACCTAATCTTGACTGAGTACCATCCTAAAATCCAAAATTTTAATAATTATTTCTTTTTGGTCTTATATTTATACCAAAAATTTTGGTAAAATACACATATATTTTTCTGTCTTTAAGCGTTTACTTATATTTGGTTTTACTCTATGGGAACAGAGATTCAGGTTTTATGGACTGTAAAACATATCACATTAATATGCAAATATCACAGCCTAGGAAAAGGAAGACTCCTGTTCACAGAAGGGAGACCCACAAACCGCAGAACTCTCTGAGCTCATCCAGCATCCTTCCCCATCTGCCTCACAGTGATGAACAATAATGTACTAATGTACAACCTAACATAATAACTTCAGTAATGAAATTAATGTCTGACTTTGTTGTTGTTGAGACAGGGCCTCACTATATAGTGCAGGCTGGCCTTGAACTCGCTATGTAGCCCAAGCTGTCCTTAAAGTCATAGCAGGCCTTCTGCTCAGCCTTCTGAGAGCTAGGACTACAGGCGTGCACCATCACAGCCAGCTTCAGTTTGATTTCTTGATGGGCAGATATTACTTGAGCAACTGTTAAAATACTTCGTTATTAACATGCCACCAAGTGAAAGAGACCCTCTCAAACCAGAGGACCTAAATATAAACCAAAAAGTATCTCCACTATGACTTTTCTTTTTAAAAAATGAAGTTCCTAAAAATTAGTAAACAGGGAAAATAAACTTTTTCTTTATGAGACATTACTCTGAAGATAATCATGGCATTAGGATTATTTCATAAAAGTAATTTAAAACATACAACTAGAAGTTTGTATTATTTTAAAAATGATGTGAATGCTTTTCAGTAAAGACCTTTAAGGCAGAAAATATCTTTTTTTTTTTGGTCTTTTCCCTTTTTTATTGGTACCGGGGATCGAACCTACGACTGCCTGCTTGCAAGGCCGGCGGCTTATGCCGCTGAGCTAAATCCCCAGGCCCTCAGAAAATATCTTTTAAAAAATATAAAGTTTAAAGAACAAACATCTCTGTTTCTTTGTTTTATAAATAAATAAATAAATGTAGGTTTTAAGAAGTATTTGAATAAAGGTCATAGAATAAATCAGGTGAGAAGGTTCACTGACATTCACTAGAAGAAGCAAGTGGGCTTTGGTTTTATTTACTTTACCTTAGTATCTATTACAGTAATATCCATTTTATACTGAGAAAGGTCTGCTCCTGGATCTACACTCCACTGAATATTTTCAAGGGATGATGCATCTTAGATAAGGAAAAAAAATATGCAATTAAAAATAGATTTTGAAAAGTCTCATAACTTTAAAACGTTAGGAGACTGACAGATTGGGAGAGATTTTTGTTCATCATAAGTTTGGTAAAAGACTTGTACCTAGGATACATAAGAACTCTCACAACACAAAAATGTAAATTTTCCAAATCAAAAATAGGAAAAAGCTCTGAATGTCTAAATGGCTGATAAGCATATAAAATACTCAACATCATTAGCCCTCAGAAAAATGCAAAATCATAAGTTACTATACCACACCTACAAAGATAGCTAGAATCAAGATGAAAGATAACAAGTGTTCGTGAAGATGTGGAGAAACTGCAACCCATGCATAATGCTGGTGGGAATGTGAAATAGTATACAGCTACTTTGGAAAACAGGCAGCACTCCAAAATTTATACAGAATTAGAACAGGGTCCGGCAATTCATTTCTCTGTATAAAGAAAAAAATGAAAACATGTAGCCACACAAAAACTTATACAAGTGTTCACAGAAATATTATTCATAATAGCAAAAAGTAGGAACAGCTACATTTCTAATAACTGATGAAAAACAGTAAAAAGAAATGAACAAATAACAATATATGCTATGATATGGATGGAAATGGAAGTCATTATACTAAGTGAAAAAAGTGAATTATAAAAGTTATATACCAAAGGATTCCATTTATATGAAACCTCTAGAATTATGAAGACAAAAATATAAATGAGTGGTGCCCAGCAGTGGGTGGGGAGGAAGATCAGTAGAGGTCGGTGCCTATTCCAAACTTACGACTACTGTGACAGTCGGAAAACCTCTGTGAATTTACCAAAACTACCAAACTGGAAACATTCATGGTGGATTTTTATGGTATAATTTACATTTCAATAGAAATATTTTTAAAATGTTAATAACATAACATTGCCTGGAATGATTTTGAATGTACTGCATATAAACATAAGATACAACAAATACATGAAGTGTAGCTGTAGGACATGGATTAGTATGACAGTAACTCCAAGCAAACTGTAAAAAGTTAAACAGGAATATTACAACCCCTAGGGGGCAAAGAAGACATTAAAAGAAAAAACAAAGCTGAAAAATAGGAATGAAAGTGACAAAAGCATTTTTACAAGCAAAGAATATATTTCCAGAAAAAAGGAAAACAAGCCCAGAATGAAAGAATAAGTTCCCAATGAAAAAAAAAATAAAAATACTGCATATGAATTACAGAAATGTTTAGTGGCTGAAAAACCAAAAGGACTCCTTTAAAATACATACAGTAAAATTATCAGAAGATATATATATATGATGTGTATGTATATATAGCAGGGCAAACAATGTTTACAAATACGTTAAAAAAACTATATCAATAATGTATATGTTCATGTTTATACACAAACATGTAAATGAAATCAAAAGGACAAATTACCTGTAGAATGAGAAATAAGGTTTGGATGATTATTTTTATTTTTCAAATTCTGTATAGTTTAAATTTTAAAAGCTTCTGTAAAGAAAATAAAAAATAACTACAAAAAGTCAGTCTACAAAAGCACCTGTAAAAGCAGATACCAAAATATTTCAACTTATTTTTCTGAGAAGTACAAAAGCAGAAAATCACAGGTAAAATGAAACCAATGAGAATCATTTTATAAATGCAAACATGCAGGGAAGAAATGTTTAAAAATTTCCCAAACAATTTAATCTACTCAACGTATGTAAGTATTCAGTTCAAGGTCATTAAAGAGAACAGAAATCCAATTTATAGGGTCCATACCTTGGTTATTGTTAGGCTTTGTTTTGGCAATTCTGCAGGGATTTAACTGAAGAACTGATGCAAGTTCACATCCTCCATGTACTGACCTGGTTTTTACTTTGATTGGCTCATTAGAATTAGCACCCTAAATAGAAATAATTATTAGCATCCAACTGAAATCACAGAAAGTAATTTTAATCAAAATTCTTAAACATTTAACACAAACCTTCATATCATCAAAACGATTCTCTGTCTCCAAGCTTTCATGTGGATGTAGAGGGATTTTGAAGATGGAATTTTCTTCTTTTATAGGTAATGGTGTTTTATCATCTGGAGGGGATTTGTGCAAAGTCTGGCGGACACACTCCTGTAAATAGGACTCCTCTGCGGAATCTCTGGGTACCAGACAGCCATCATCCAAGGCCTTACGGCTTGTGGAAGAACCTTTTGGAATGGGTTTAAAAGCTTCATAAAGAGTCACTTGCTTAAATCTATTTCTGGAAGTCTCATTTCCTTGGTTTTTCTCTTGACGTTGCACAGCTGAGAACCGATCAGATAGATCCAGAGGTTTGTCCATTACATGGTCCCCATTCATGGAAAATTGATTATCCATTGGAAAAGGAAGAGAATTTTCTTTATCAAAGGAGGTTTGGGGGCAGCTTATTTCATGTTCACTTTCTTCCTCAGCTTTCTTCCTTTTGGATGTTCTGCCTCCCAGTGATTTCAGGGACACTATGTGTTTATCAGTAACAGTATCTTTAGTGTGATCAGTAATATCCTGTTCATTTATGGACTCACTTATACTTTTAAGAACCTGCTTACTAGAAGATAACTGGCTAATGGCCTTGTTTACTTCAGACCCAAGATTATGGTGTGTGAAAAGGGCACTATCTTCAGATTTTGATCTAGTTTTCTCTAATCTAGAAGTAGAAGTGCTGCTGAAAGGGGCTGTTTTGAGATGGTTTTGTTTCCCAGTGTCTAAAAGGGAAGGGGACAAACTTGTATTCAAACCCAAGTCAGTTTTCACATTAGATGTAGGTACAAACACAGGAGACGAAAACACAGGAGATGATGCCCGAGTAGTCAATTCCTCTTGAGGTGGAGTATTTGAAATAGAATCTGAAAATCTAAATAAAGAGTAAGAAAATTTTTTCTTGCTAAAAAAATATGGTAAAAATTAAAAGATAAACGCCATGTGAAAACCTTTGCTTAACACAGAGTACCTATCTATTAGAAGCAGATGATTAACCAGAATTTAAGACACAGTATAACTACTAGTCCCTTCATTTGGGAAACAAAAAGCTGAGGAAAATGATACAGCAAACATGTCTCAATACCCTAATATTCCTATCTAACTTTTTTCCTAAGTAATTTAAATAACTTCATTATATAAACAATTTAATGAATTCTAAAAATGAAATTCTGTTTTTTTTTTTCTTTCTTTCTTTCAGTGTTTGGACTCAAACCAGAAATCCTGCTTACTAAGCAAGCAGAGATGACTGGACGATATCTCCAACTCCAAAACTCTTGAATTAGAGATCAAAGTGACTTTAATGAGATTTTCTCTCAGGAGCTACATTTTTGTCACTTGCAAAAGAAATAAAAAAGGAAAGGGAGCACTAAACCCTACCTTGATAGGCTACTATAATGACAGATGAAATCAGTAAAAAATTATATGCAATACAATCTTAGAAATCCATCCAGTTTATAGATGTCCTTTGTATTGCATGCACCATTTGATAACAAACACAGAAAGGATGGCTGAGCCTGTAAAGGGACAGAATAAACAAGTGGGAGCTCTTAAATAGTGTTCTTCTTGGTGATGTATGAAAGGATTTACAAAAAACCACTACTTCTCTCCTATAATGCAAAAAAGCTCATAAACTGGTGAGACATTTTTCACAATAAAAATAGCCAGAATAACAAACCCTATGCTGAGGGGGAAAAAGGGTTTAATTTTTTTTTGAAACAGGATCTCACTGAGTAGTTCAGGCTGGCCTCTAACTTGTGGCAATCCTCTGCTTCAGTCTCCCAAGTGCTGGGATTACAGGTAGGTGCCACCATGCCCAGTAAAATGGTTTGGTTCCAATGGGAGTTCAACAATAGTTACAAATTTTCACCAAGTGTCCCAAATTACCTTAAACTATCTTTAGTATTTCTCATAGAGTCCTCAAAAGGTTGTTTCTTGTGTTCTCCTTCCATAGAGTGGTAGAGCTCATCACCAAGAGGGCTCATGGGACTTTGAGATTCCTTCAATAGTAAAATATGAAGCACATTCATACAATGGAATATACTCATTCTTAAAAAGGTGGTAGCTGCTTAGTACTATAAATATACTAAGTATCTCTAAATTGTACACTTTAGTTATTATTTTTGCAGTATTGGGTTCATTTCCCAGGGCTTTCACATTGGGCTACATCCTTAGGCTCTCAAATTAATTTTTAATTTTGAGACAAGGTCTTGCCAGTTGCTTAAATTGCCCAGCCTAGGCTCAAACTTGCAATCCTACTGCCTCAGCCACCCAGACTGCTTGGCATTATAGGCTGGTGTCACCATCACTGCCTTGAATGAGCTGCACACTTGAAAAGGATTAATTTTATATTAAACTTCATCACAATAAAAATATGAACTATATTAAATTTAAAGTAAAAAAACCATTGATATTTTAATATTTTGTATAAATACATTCTATTACTGGTACATAAAACTCCAATTCCAAATACCATTGGTAACATGTAGGGAAGGGAATACAGATAAATTTAAAAAGATCCTTTAAAAAGCAGTGATTCTAAAACTTTTAACATATATGCAAGTCCAGTGGGGATTTTGTTACATGCAAATTCAGTAGGTCTAGATTCTGTGCCTCCTCGAACAATTTCAGAAGTAATGCAGAAGTATTGCATATGACTCACACTACACCCAAGTCTTCAGATTTCAGCTCCCTTAACTCATTTGCTAGACTCTAAACTGCTAGATTCCTAAGTAGGAGGGAATTAGAAATCAGTAAAACACATTTGAAGTATAAAGGTGAAAAACGTACCCTTTACCATTTGAAAAGTGGGTTTTGTGTGTGTGGTACTGGGGATTGAATCTAAGGGAATCTACTATGGGGTATCATCCTCAGTCTTTAACATTTTTCTATATTTTGTGACAGATTGCCTCAAAGTTATAATCAGCCTACCTCATCTTCTCAAGTACTAGGATTACAGGCATGTGTCACCATACCTGTGAGGATGGTTTTAAAAAGACAAAAGCCCAAATAAAAAAACCAGTTATTAGAAATTCAACAGTTAGACAACTTTATAAGAGCACAGACACATTCACTAGCTAACCTGAAGGAATGCTGTTTTAAAATTGTGTCAAAACAGAACTTAGGATGGAAGAATTCAAGTTTTCTGTCTTCTAGGGCCCAATTAAGAGGAAAAAAGGAAACATGCCTGATGTAAGTACTAAAATAATGAAAACATGGGACTGGGGATGTAACTCAGCAGTGCCTGACTAGGGCCAGAGATTTAGCTTAGTGGCTTAAGTACCTGACTAGCAAGCATAAGGTCCTGAGTTCGATTCCCAGTAAATATACACATTAAATAAACAAGCAAACAAATAAACATGAAAATATGACAGGGCCAACCTGATTCAGTTCCTATGTAGGTCTGTTATAGTTACATTGAGAATGTCCTCCAAAGGCCTCATTTACTCACTGGCAGGACTTTTGGAAAAAGACTCGATCATAGTGGGCCTATAGCTAAGCTACTGTCAGGAGGGTGGGTCTGGCAGTGGTAGCAGGGAGATGGAACACTGGAGGTGTGACCCGGAAGGGTGTTATCTCCAGCCTCTGCTCTGCCCTTCTCTCCCTGCTCCATGGATGCCGTGATATGAACGGCTTTCCTGCAGCGGCCCTTCCCAATTCCCTTCCCCTTCCCAAGCCGGCTTGGAACCGGCTTACCATAAGCCAAAATAAACCCCTCCTCAATCTTAAATACTGAATGCAATCTCTCATTTGAGTGAAGCACAGTACAAATAAAGAACAAAATAAAAGACTGATGGAGGGGAACAAATGTGCAATTCTGCACATTTGCATTCTGCAAATGTGGAGGGGTCCAGGAGACAGGGTGCAGGCAGGGGGAACAGGAAGGAGACTTAGAAAGATTTTAAAATGTGTCATGCACATGTACTAAAATACCCACATGAGCACCAACATTATATGTCATAAACACGAACCAAAAATAATAACAACAACAATAAAGTTGGGATTTAAGAGATGGCAGGAGGGTGGTGGGTGGAAAGGGGGAAGACTAAAGAATCAAGCTGTCTTATGTACCTGCACACACTCCATAACATAAATATACACTACATATATTGCAAACATACTAATAAAGCAAAACAATCCTCTAAAAACCCCTCCTTGAAGTTGCAGTCATTGGGTATTTTGTGCCATCAACAAGAAAAGTAATGGTGGGGGTTTAGCTAATAGGTAGTGTGTGGATGACATGCAAAATCCCTGGGTTCAATTCCCAGCACTCAAAATAAATAAATAAATAAATAAATAAATAAATAAATAAATAAATAAATAAATAAAAAGACAACAAGTAAGATGAGAAAGGAAATAAACACACACACATATATAAATATATATAATTTGTTTTTTTGGCACCAGGGATTGAACTCACAACTTCATGCTTGCCAGGCCGGCCACTAAGCTAAATCTCTGGCCCTAGGTGAGATATGATTTAAAAAGGACAAAAACCCAAATATAGTTTAACAAAAAGAGAAATCAAATTTCAGAAACTCAACAGCAATACAACTTTATAGAACACACATATGTTTACTCATTTAAACAAATGAAATTGATTTTGAGATTGTGTAAAACCAGACTTTAGACTGAAGAAGTGTTCTATTGTCTAGAGATCTTAGTTACTTTTCTTGTTGCTGAGACAAAATACTGGACATTTAAAGTTAAAGCTTGGTTTATAGGGGTTTCAGTCCACAGTCAGCTGGCTCTAAGGCAGGGCAGCCTGGCAGACAAGATAGTCAAAGCAACAAAGGAGAGGAAACAAGACTCTTTGCTCCTTATACTGTATGCAGGCTACCCGCCTAGGGCAGGTGTAGCACTCACACCTTAATCTCAGCCAGAACTATACCAAATCAATCAGTGGACTTTTAATAACCATACACCCTTAATCCCAGCATCCCATATTCTAGATTCAGCCAGCCATTCTGAAAAAGCCCTATGACTGCACGAGGCACTGGGGGGACAATGAGACACAAACCGTAACAGGATCTATGAAGAAAAATACCCGGTAAACACACTGGACATAAGTACTGTAAGTACTGTACTAAGACAATGAAAATATGATGGGGCTATTCTGACTCAGTTCACATTAATTAGTTCACTTGGATCAGTAGTTCTTGGTAGAAGCAAGAATTCAGCCTGTTTTTCATACCAAATTTCCCTTTCATGGATACCAAAAATCCCAGTAAGTTCTGAAATCAATTTCAGAATTTAGGTTTTCTCTTAGAATGAGAATGGATAGGAGAAAAAAATAGGGGCAACAAAATAGGACTGGGAAAATAAATCCACTCTGCCATAATTCTTCCCCTGTAATTCTGACTCAGTCCCAGATCCCAAAAATTCTAAAGGTTAGGTTTACGGAACTGCCTGGAAGCAGATAATATGAACGGGCCTTTCAAACACAGTTTAGTTCTAGGCCTTTATTTAATGATCTTTGGATAAAATAATTTTGCTCAATTCTCTAAGAATGTCTCTAAATGGACATATGAGTTAACTGATATTATCATAAAATAAATCACTTACAGATTCCTCTTCAACACCAAGTCCAAGTGTTTCAGCAACAACTGTAGCTAAATGAAAAGATGACTTATCAACGGGACAACTGCTTATTCCACGTATTTCTAAGAAAGAAAAAAATTATAAATTACATGTGTAAAAATTGTATAAAAGGAAGGTGAAGGCTCAAAGAACCAATATAAAATGGCATTGGACAAATTTCTAAATTCTATTAAAAATTCAAAATATTAAAAATAGCAATAAAGCTACATGTATTTTGCATACATACTTGCTAAACCCTTTCAGTTAGGTATTCTATTTTTCCTAAATGAATCGAGTCCAATAGTAATATTTTTTATTGACACAAAATAGATCAGAAAATGGATTTATAGCAAACTAAAGTACAGGAGAAATACTAAACCATATTTATAGTATCTTTCATGAATATAGGGGAGACATTTTCAGAACTACACAATTTTTAACTTTTGGGTAACCTATTTATACAAGAATCACACATATGCAAGGTTTTATAAAGTTTTGTGCAGTTTCTATAACTCAACAAATACTTAGAACTAGTAGAGCACCTACCGTTTCAGGGATTGTGCTATGCACCATATGAAAAGAACACATTTTTGTTCTTAAAAAGCTATGGGTTGCAATTTGAAAGGTAAAAAAAACTACAGTGGAGTGTGATAAACACATTAGAGGTAATGTAAAGGGTGATTTAAATGTAGAAAGACTCATAAAGTTGCATTGGGAAACCAAGGCAAGCTACACAAAGTGATGCTTAAGCTGACACTTAAAAGAGTATGAGGAGCGTGGCAAGTTAAGCAGATTGGGAGTGGAAAGTAGTCTAGGGGCTGGGGAAAGTAGTCAGCGGCATAAGCACCTGCCTTGCAAGCAGGCAGTAATGAGTTCAATCCCCGGTACCGATAAAAAAAAAAAAGAAAGTAGAGTCTAGGTATGTGTAAGGGCCCAGATATGTGAAACCAAAATGTTCATTTAGGAAACCACCTGTGGTTTCAAATTTCTCCTGTGAACAATGAAGAGAAATGCAAAAGTTTTAAATAGATGACAGAAGCCATTCTTGGGTTAAAAAGGTAACTTTGGCTGTGACAGTCTCATAGGTAAGAAGCAATCACACAAACAGACCAAAAAACAAAACAAAACAAAAAACCTCACCCTAATTATATTACTAAAGGTCTTAATGTGAGATGCTGATGGCCAAAAGTATATCAATGAGGGTAGAGAAGAATATGTAAAACAGACAAGGGGACGTAGAATCAGGAATCAGTAAGACTTAGAAGCTGCTTAGAAATAAGAGATGAGAAAACAAGAGTCTAGGATGATTTAAAAGTTTTTCAATTGGTAACTCAAAGAAGCATGTACAGTGTCATTCACAGGTTATAAATACAAGGAAGAACGGTAGGTCTGACAGGAAAGCTTCTGTTCTGGACAGCTGAAGATAAAGCATATCCAGGTAGAGATGCTGAACAGCAGGTATATTTCCCATTTGGAATTTGAGGAAAAAGTCCTAGACAAAGATTTTATTAGCACATAGGTGGCAGCAGAGCACTAATTCTAGGTAAGATTCCTCTGGAAAGACAGCAAATAAAACAAAAACACGACCATATGTACTGGGGATATCGACACTCATGACTTCTGTAGAAGCTCTAGTGCAGCGAACAGAAGAGAGGGTATGCAGAGGTGCTTGCTTTGTGTCTATCCCTGGTACCACGAAAGAGAAAAACAAGCACATATATACTGGAACTTCTCTTCCCCCATTTACCATGACTGGCTTGGTAGTGTCATCCAGTTCCATGGTTTTGGATAATATGCTGACAAGTTCCGTATGTATCTCCATCTTAAATGTCTCTAAACGTGCATTTACATGCACATGCTCACTCAAAATCCTATCTGAATATCCTGCTTCCAGTCTCTTCTGTCTCAGTTATCAGCAGTTGAGTCCTCCGACTTCCCACAGCGCTCTCCTCTTTGCTCACTCTGTTCCAGCCACACAGGCTCCTTACACCTCTCAACACACCCACAGGCAGTCTACGCCACGCTGCTCCGCCGGACCCGTGTGCTTCCCCCACTCTCTGCTCTATGGTCACCTGATAACTGAGGCTTCCCACTACCCCCCTTATCCTGTTTCATTTCTCTCCAGAGCACCTGATTCTATCTGACATATTTATTTTCATATTCCCCAACTAGATTTTAAACTCCACAAGATCAAGAGCTCTATTCTGTTCATTGCCTGATATTATTTGTTGAATAAATGAGTAAACTATATCAAGGCTTTCTTATCTAAATCAACAGCAATTTGTATTAATATGGATATTAATGTGAATGAATACTCACATTACTTTCCAATATGAAAAGACTTCTAAGCAACTAGTAATATAAACACAATTATATGAAAAAAAAATCTCTAAAACATAGTCTGATTCTGTTGGCTGCTCTTGCTTATCAATAACCACACATTTTAAACTTATAAAGGTAATTTCAGTATCTTACTAGCCACTGGAGCTTCACTCTGATCACAAGTGTCAGCGACTAGAATCTCCTTTTCATTCGGGCTATGCTGTGAATGAGTTGAAGCCTTGGAAACTTTTCTTAATTCTAAGCAGAAAAAGAGGAAAGATTACATGAAAAACAAACAATAATGATGAAAATTATCATCAAAATATTATTCCCAAAGCCAACAGAAACCTGTGGTTCAAGTATTATAAAAACTATTTTTATTGACATAATTCTTGTATTTTAAGAAGTTTCTTTAGTTTCACTAAGCAACAAAACTGCAAGTTAGGACAATGAGTGACAGAAGACTAGAAGAGTCAAGTTTTTTCTGCCTTAAACAAGGTGCCTAAACAGTAATGTTTTAATGTTTTTTTTCCCTTTGTGTATCGGTTACAAATTAGGTTTTAATTTTTGTAAAGAAACCTGAAACAAGTTTTATCAGAAATATTTCTATTACTTAAAGATTTAATTTGAAGAAAACTAAAAGGCAAAGTAAAGGAAAATAAGTTTTACTTTATAATTTAAAAGTAGTATTAAAAAATAAGCAAATATGGTTAGAACAAAAACAAGACTAACAGACATTAAATTATTTAAAATTTATTTTCAGATAATTTACATAGACCAACACATATATCTTAAAACCAAAGTTTCAGATTTCAAATAAAAAGTGATGAGAATAATACCTCAGTAACATACCAATTAAGTTTTTAAATCATTATATACTGCTCTCATACAATGAGGAAATAAACCAAAGCATTATGCTGGATACAAAAGATGACTTTCCTAATGAAAATTGTATATTATTTTTGGATAGCCATATTCATGAATTTAAACATGATCTGAATTATACATATAATTATTTGTAATGATTCATGTCCTATCATATGTTCTGTTATTTCAAGATCTAGGACTTTATATTTTAATTTAGTTCCTAATTACATGCAGGATTTTTAACAGTTCTTTTGTTTCCCACTAGATGGTGATATGAACTCATATAAAATGGGGAAACTGTGCCAGTTTTAAAGAATAAAGATCTAGTTATTCTTACAATGTATTTGCATCACACAAATATCTTTAAAACTTTATACATCCTTTTAACCCACATACTTTGTTACAACACTTTAATTTAAAAATTAGTCTTTATTTTAGATTAATATTAAAAGAATAAAGACTGTACTATGTCATATTATAAATTTCAGGGCTACATAGTTTCAAATCATTTAACAGAAATGGTAGCTTCAAATCATTTAGCAGAAATGGTAAATGACTGGAATTAGAAATAAGTCACTGATAACTCAGAAAAGACATTATAAAGCCATTTCTAGATTTCCACAAACTGCTACAAATTATAAAAAGTAAAAAAGTCAGTTAAAGACAAATGACAGGAGTACCTGCAATCAAAATCTACAAAGTATAAAAATGTAGAGCCAGGAAGATCTGTCTCTAAATATTGACTCATCTAAATCTAATTCTACCCACCTTGGTGAGTTTTTAATCTCTAAACATACCTCTCCTAATCTCTAAAATAAAGGAGTTAATAGCTACTTCATAAGCCTGAAATATAATAATAATTATGTAAATCAGTCAGCATATTAATACCTGAAACATAGGAGGAGAAAAGTAATGTGAAGTTTGTTTCATCATTCCTTTGATCTAACTCAAATATATACACATAAGACTTGTTTTGTTTTGAAATTGGGAATCAAACTCAGAGGTACTCTACCAATGAGCTACATCTCCAGTTCTTGTTTTATTTTGACACAGGTTCTTGTTAAATTCCCCAAACTTGTGGAGTACTGTTATTACAGATATGTACTACTACTAAGAATATTTTTAAGTAAAAAAAGAAAAGAAACTACTATATTTTTAAAATACTGAGTATTTACATATTCACACATACATATATAATACAGGAAGAAAATGCCTTCTCACTTTACTAGCAGAAGTTAAACTCAGTTGTACCAAGTTAAACTCAGTTGTACCTGGACAATGGATACCTGGACAATGATTAACTTCTTTCCACTACAATGAATAGTGTAAAATCAATGCATACGTTTCCAAAAAACCAGAAAACTGAAATACAACTCTAAACCTTACCATTTGTACACACAGAATGCTCCAATTTAGAATTTGTTTTTTCTACATATCGGACATGAAGATTCTCCTTTCTTCGTAGCCGATTAATGCCAGAAAATGAAAAGGCTGTTATTGGTGAATCTGGAATAACGTTTTCCTCACATTCAAGCTCAGCTGCTTGATGCTGTTGACCATTCCTAGAAGAAAATGATTGAAAGAAAGTGAATTCTACAAATATTTATTATACCATGTATTACATAGCGTGAATTCAAGTAGAAAGATGGAAGAGATGTTAATTCCACCTAATGTCCAAATCTGAGGATTGGGAAAGCAGACAAAGGATTGCAGAACTAAGAAGGGATGTTATTGTGAGAAATGAAATAGAAAGTGCAGCTGATGGCATGTGAGATGAAATTAAAAGTACTCCAAGTGGCAAAGATTTACTCAACACAGTCTGAGTAAAAACATGCAGTTCTGTGCACTTTTATGGACTTCTCCACAACACACAGGAAGGGGAGCCTTAAGTGCACATGCCAAGGAAGCAAGAGGAAGGGAACTAAGGCACAGAAGTGAGGTGACAATGTAACGGCAGTATAGAATACCCAACAGCGCAGAAAGGAGAAAGGCAGTTAATTAAACATACTTAATATAGGCTGTAATAGTTAAGACAAGAGCTTTTGAGCTTTGAACTAGGATAATGTTAAATACACATGGAAAGGAAAGGACCAATGTTAGATGCCACAGTGGCATAATCAACATGACTTGGCAACCAACAAATGCTGCACTTGATAATACCGACACTGACAACTTGCACCAAACTTTGTCTTGTATGTTACATTGTTGGGAACTCTTCAAAGTATCACTGTATCACTACTGCACTGTGTGAGATACTACAATGATCATCTTACAACTGAGGAAACCAAGACATAGAAGTCCCTCATTATACTAGTAAGTCAAGACTTAACTTTTGGCAGATTCTAGGGGCTCTATCTTAACAACTCAATGTATTATCCTGTAGATCATGAATCTAATGAACAACTACAGTAGGCTTCTAGCCTTGGTTCTATTGAGACCTCTTCCACTCTACTCGTAAGAGAAGTCACAATAGTTCTCTATTACAACCCAACCATGTCAGTTAAATTTGATTAAAACTCTGTTACATCTGCCCATTCACTGAGAAGACACGCCAGTGTTCTCTAGACAATGCAGAAGAACCTACATGACCTGACTGTCCTCTCCCCCATAACTGTGCTCTCATCACACACTCTTCCTTGGGTTTCCCTCAACATGCCAAGCATCATCCTATTGCAGTGTCTTTGCTCCAGATGTTCCATCTGCTATTCCCAGGTACTGACATGGCTAATTACCTCATGTCTTTTACATCTCTGCTGGAATTCTAATGTTTAAAACTGCAGTCTCTGTCCTGCAGCCCAGTTTCCTGTTCCTTGTGATTCTGCTCTGTTTATTTTATACTTGCAAATGCTTTCCAAACAAGTATGCAATTCACTACATTCACCTGTTAGAATGTAAGCTCTAAGGTGAGAGCCTTCATTTTACTGATGAATCCCAACAGGTATACAGCAGGTATTGCCTAACAATTTGCTGAATAAACAAGACATTCTTAGATCCCCCTAACGAAATATTTAGACATACATTCTTTCTCAAATCAATTCAAAACCCATAGCACCTAAAGGTTGAGTTTGGACTAACTATGATTACAGAGTAAAATTAAACTAATTGACTTTCCCACATCAAATCATTAGTGACCTTATTGGTCAACCAATTCTTATCAGTTTGTCAGCCATTCACTCTTTACATGAGCAAAGTAATTTGTTCTATTATACTGATATCGATTTGTAATACTATTTCAAAGACCTATGCAATGAGAATTTTACAAACTATGATCAACAGAAATTTTTAAAGAATCACTATAGGAGAAAGATTAACACAGATATATACTTTAATTTCCAGGTAATATCAACATTACTTGTAGTCTACAATCCTGTATTGCTGCTGAGAAAAATCTTTAGAACTATTATCTGATTTTTAAAAATTTTACTTTTGGTGGGGGGGAGTATAACTTACAGGTAAAACACTTACATAGCATGTGTGAGGTCCTAGGTTTGATTGCTAGCATTGTTTGCCCCAAATTATTTTTATATACAAACAAACAATGTTTGTATATATTTATGAGGTTTGATGTGATGGTTTGATGTATGTTTATATTGTGGGATGATTACATCAAGCAAATTAATAAGTTTATAACTTCATACATTTAGGGGGTAAAAACATTTAAAATCTACTTTTTTAATGAATCTGAAATATACAAGGAATTATCTATTAAAGTTATCATTCTGTGCAATAAAGTTAATATCTAATCTTTAATCTCTTCCTGTAATTCTATCCTTATTCTGGAAAAACAGTAAAGTCATATGAGAAAGCTTTACAAATTAATGGAGTGTGAAATCTGTCTGACCTTGGTTTAACTAATCATATCACACATAGCTTGCTTTCCTAGTGGTCATAAAAAATTCAACCTGAAACATGAATGAGTCACGTGAAGAAAGAGATTTCCTGGCAGAGTCAATCTAGATGTAGCTGGGATGACAAAAGGGGAAAAAAAACTCCCAAATACAAAAACCCAAACTAGCTCTAACTAGAAGTGCTGAAATTACAGTAAGTAAACAGGTGAAGCTTTTGTCATCTTCTCTAATAAAAGAAAACAGAAGCAAATCAACTACTATGTCTTTTTTTGTTTGTTTGTTTGTTTTTTGGTCTTTTTCCTTTTTGTTGGTACCAGGGATCGAACTCACGACTGCCTGCTTGTGAGGCAGGCGCTTATACCGCTGAGCTAAATCCCCAGCCCCTTGTTTGTTTTTGAGACAGGGTCTCATTATGCAGTTCAGGCTGGCCTTGAGCTCACTTTGTAGCCCAGGATGGTCTCAAAACTTGCAACAATCCTCCTGTCTCAGCCTCCCGTGGGCTGGGATTACAGGAGTGTGTTAACACGCCCAGCTAAAAACAACTACTATGTCTTATCCAAATTTATTCCTTAAAACATTAGGACTCACCCTGATTTTCAGAGAAAAACTGAGTCATGTCCTATTAATTATTAACATTCTTTATCTTCTGTTCATTCTTTTAGTAGTTTTATTTGTAGGTCTTCTCTTAAATTCCTGTCAAAACTGTTTTAGTTGTCCTTTCCCCTCAAACCTGTAAGAAGCCAAGGTTTCTGTGCTAAGGAAGGAGTCAGCAAAAAACATTTTTAACCTTCAGTTCTTCTCTACCTGAAGAATTTATTTCTAGTTAAAATGTAAATTAAACTTACTGAAGCACTATTATAACCATTAAGTTCATTGCAATGTTTTAATTTAAAAAAAAAGGGATGAAGATTCCCTAAAGTACAAGCCAGTTGAGTCTATATCCTGGTCCCTTAGAACCAATGTAAATGTATTATATAAATAATTTAAACAAGACTAATTTTTAAAAGCAGGGCCATGAGACAGTTGTTCTGTGGGATGCTGTCAAAACACTGGCTCTTGGGCAGGCCTCTGACAATGATTCCCTCCACATCCTGCACTTGTCGGACTCTGAAATCACCTGTGATTCCTGTGATCTTCACTGAGCCTATCACATCTGTTCTTCCCAGTACAGTCACAATAGCAATACTTTATTTGCTTTCTTTGACTGACAGAACTGACTCTTCTTTTGCTTTATTTTTAAGCTGGTAAAGGTGATTTTTAAAAACTGAGTAAGTTATTGTAGTGTCACTAGGTAGCTATCCTAATTTATAAAGGATCTGTAACATGAAAACCAGCCCAGGTGAGTTAGAATTACTGCACTTGACAAGTAGAAGCATAAGACAGCATGTTTTCTAAAGTTAAGGGGAATTTCAGGCATTAATTGGATAACATTGTGGTGGTTTAGGTAGTCAGAGGAAATGAGGTTGCCTTTACAAGCTGATACTTGCTATTTTTTTTTTTGAAAACTGCCAACAAAAAGGAAATATGTTTAAAGAGAACAAGTCATAAAAGAAGTCATCTCAGGAGAATCACAACACAACTATCTTAAATTTCAGGAAAGACCTGAAAGATACAATAGATTATTTCCTACAATGTTCTGACTAAGCATGCCCTAAAGAAAACATACATGTTCTGAGTTGGTCTATGTGATTAGACTCTACTAGAATTTCTGTCTTTCTTCCTGAAAACATCAATGAGCTTCAACAGGAAAAAAACTGAGAACACTAAAAAGAAAATTTAAACTAACTAGAATTCGTATTTTTGCCAAATGGCAATCGACTTTCAAAGTACTTTATGTATCTTGGGTCCCGAAGCAATCATCTACTTATTTCTGTTAATACACTTACTCTACACTTAGTATTTATCTGTCTTTGGTATTCATAAACATCAAAATACAAATATCGAAATATTTTTCAAAATACAATAAGCCATATGTGCTAAATCATTTCATATAACATAAACTAATGTAGTTCAATAATCACTAATAGAATTCCTTGGTCTCAGATATAATTCAGAGTAGAATTTAGATTTTTTTAAAAGTGAAAACCAGTACAAAGCACATTAGATTATTACATAACACTTCTTATGATGTCTAAGGCATCATCCTATAATCAAATATTTATAAATAAAAATACACAAATATATTAAGTGAGATAAAGGCTATAAATAACATCCTCCCAGTTAAGATGAGTTTAAGTTCTGAATAAAATTTTTTTTTTAGCTCAGATATTTAATGTGAAGTTCTGAATAAATTTAAAACAAAACTTTTGGGTTTTGGAATCATCTACAAAAGACTATGAATCTGTGTTTCAGCCTTTTTCCATCATGGTGCTTGAGTACAATTAGAGTACTGATATTTTAGCATAGCATCAATCTAATCCCACAACCTCCTTTGCTCTCTTCAAAATTCCCTTTGGCTAGCAGTATTTAGTGGACCAAGTGGGAAAAATATCAGAATGCTACTGTAACATCTATTACTTAAAAGTACACTGCTAGAAGGGAAGAATGTTAATTCTGCCAGAGAGACATGCTTATACACATATAATAACTATGATAACTGTCATTTGTGTTACATCTGCACCAGAGATTTTGCAGATGTCTACACAAATGCAATAGTATGTTTAAGAACCCTGTCACACTATCAGGATTATCCAGAATCCTAAATTAAAAAAAAAAATGCTACAAGCCAGGTGTGGGATCACATTCCTGCCATCTCAATTATTCAGAGATTCTGGAGGATAGCAAATTCAAGGCCAGCCTGGGCAATTTAAAGATGGTAGGGAGGAAGCAAGGGATGCAGTTTAGGGCTCCCAATCAATTTCTCTCTCTCTCTCTCTCTCTCTCTCTCTCTCTCTCTCACACACACACACACACACACACACACACACACACACACACACACACACACACAGAGCCACTGTACCACAGTGTGGCTGTAGCCAGCTACTTGAGAGGCTGGGCCAGGATCATTTGACACAGGGAATTTGAGGTCAACCTTGGTAACACAGTGAGATCCCATCTCAAAAAATAAAAAATAAAAAAAGAAATACAATTTAAAAGTTGCATAAACTTTATATAAATAAGAAGCTACTCCTATCTCTACCCTTAATCAGTCAGACCATTTCAGAAGGGTATTCCTTTTCTTTTGAGACAGTATTGCATAACAGAAAGAGCAGGATCTGAGTGATGGTCTTGTTACTAGTTGTGGAAACACAGGCAATATACTCAACTATAACTTTTGGTCTTTCCCCCCCTTTATAAATTAAGAATCATAAAACTACTCTGCAGAATTGCAGTGAGGGTGAGAAACAATATGAGCAACGGGCATTCAGGATAAATTATTTTTTTTCTCAAAGAAAAATGGGGTAAAAAAGAAAACAGAGAAGGAGGAAGCTTTGCTTTATGAAGCTTCTGGGACAAGACCAGAAGAAGTAACAAAACTCAATATTTATCTGAAATTTAAGTTATTATAGTACTTTCTATATTTATAATAAATCACCTAAAGATTAAAATGCTTTAGTTAAGATATTTTCTTGGTAAGAGATGCACACAGACACTTCATATATATTCTCAAACAAAAACTACAGTGATTTTCGTTTTCTTTCTATCTACCTACTTATTTATCTTTGTGGTATTGGGGCTCAAACCCAGGGATGCTTTGCCACTGGGTTACATTCTCAGTCTTTTTTATTTTTAAATTTTGAGACAATATGTTTTTAAGTTGCTCAGACTGGTCTGGACCTTGCAATCTTCCTGGCTCAGTCTCCCAAATAGCTGACAATATAAATATGTACCACTGTGCCTGGCATTCTTCATACTTTTTATTGTAGAATACTTCATAATTTTTTAAATGAAATCTGCAATTCTTAAGATATTTGTAATTGTAAAAGCCGAGTGTGGTGGTGCACTCCTATAATCACAGTACTTGGGAGGCTGAGGCAGGAAAAATGTTTGCAAGTTTGATACCAGCCTGGGCTATGAAGTGAACTCAAGGCCAGCCTGAACTGCATAGTAACACCCTCTCTTAGAAAAGAAAAAAATCAATTTGCAGATTAATACAGTTAAATAAAAAGTTGGAGGAAAATATTTTCTGTTCCAATTTAGGACAAATACTTACTGAATTTTTTGCTGCAGTTGTTCAGAAAGCTTCTTATTTTCTTCTTGAAGAGTATTCTTTTCATTCACTTAAAAACAATGTAAAAAAAAGGCATATAATATCATTATATTAATAGTCATGTGAGGCTTTTTAAGTAATGTCAACATTTATGGAGAAATTACAATTTCTAATTCTACATCCAAATGTCATTCAAGGTTTTCACTATTGTGGGGAGCTAGTTTGTTACTAGGTGGCGAGCAGTGCATCTCATGTTGTCCACACCCATGTAACTGATTAACTGATGATTTTATTTGACGCTTAGGGGCAAAGCATACATATTAGAGAGTACCGTCTGCTTATTCACCTCGAGGACAAGAAAGAATTTTATATGGTTACTCAGTCCTCTAATTTCAAATAGCATTTACTGAGTCACTTAAAATAATTACAGAGTATAACTATGACTTTTACAATATAAGCACACTTGTAATCAATTTTTCTTCCTTAGTTTTACTGTTTCATGAATAATCATTGTATAAGTAATTTAAATATATCTGTTGAAGCAGCCACTATTTGTTTGAACTGACCTCCACTAAAATCTATTCTAATTTATAAAAAAGAAACTCAAATTTGGACTACAACAGGAGTTCTCATAAACCTTACAAATGCTTAGTATGTTATCACTGGTATGCATGTGTTTCACAAGGAGAAACAGATGTAAGAAATCAACTTGCAGTAAGAACAGTTAACCTCTATGAGGGAAAGTTAACCATAATCAAAATTTGTTAATCTGGTGGTTCAAAAATCTAAAACAACTTTTCAACATTGAGTAAATAATATTTGGACTATGCATATGTAAGATTACTCAACTGTCTTCTGCAGAGGATCTTTTAAAAAAAAAAAACAAAAACCTGGGATATAAACAGTGACCTAAAGGAAAGTATAGTCTACCAAGGGAGTCAAGATCCTATGGAGGCATTTTTTGTACAACGCAAAGTGACAAGAGCATTAAAGAAAGAGAAAAAAGAAACAAAAGGAAAAAAAAAAAGAAGGAATTTCTGAAGTGGAAAGGGTTACTCTGGGTCCTTGAGAAGAACATGAAAGGATAACTGAGTTGGGCATAAATTTATTGCATCAGAAGATTAGTAGAATAAAGAAGAAACCATTGGCTTTAATTAATGGTATAAGCCTTTAGATAGCAGACTAAGAAATCAGGACTTTATTTTAAAGATTACTAGGTAACACGCTTCATAGATAACTAATGTGAAGCTAGTCAGATGAAGTGACACACAACTTCCCAGCACTCTGGGAAGCTGAGGCAAGAGGATCTCAAGCTTGAGCCCTACTTGGGCATCTTAACAAAAACTGTTTCAAAGTAAGAAATGAAAAACAAGGGCTGTGGATATAACTCAGTGTGAAAGCCCTGGGTTCAATCCTCAGTATCCTCAATAATAACAGTAATAACAACAACAACAATAATAATGAAAGATTCACCTAAGCATGGATAGGGTATACCACAGTGAGAAGAAAGTACTAACAAGATGAGAAGTCAGGTGATTGTTCAAAGAAATGAGTATCTGGGACCAATGTGGGAGATACAGAAATAGGATGTAAGGACAGGTATAACTGCTAAAGAAAATAAAAGCAGAAGTTATTGGCAGTTCTGCCTTGTAGGGGTGACAGAAATCAAAGATGACGAACAAATTTCTGATTAAGGTGGTTTACCTGACTCTAAGTCAAATAGCAAGCCCACTGCATTACTGAAAAGCCAGGAACAGTTCTATCAGGATATCAGAACTATGTAAATTTCCTGATTTAAAAACAGGTTCAGATTAACAGTAAAGAAAAAAACAAAGCAACAACAAAAAAGGGCCTTAAAAAAAGCTGAGTTTCCCCTGGAGCTCCTTATATCAATCCCAGTATCAGAAGCAAATGGACCCACAAATTACTGAATAGTTCAATCAAGTGTAGCCAACACTTGCCCTTAAGCTAAAATCATGAAGACAGAACTCCAGAAGTCTGACACAAGACAGCCCACTAATAAATACAAGGAGATCAGAGCAGTGCACCTGAGCAACTTAAGGTGAACAGAGAGGACGAACTGTGAAGGAACAAAGCTCTCCAACCAGGGTTCCGAGCCTCCAACTTTCAGTCACTAGAGCAGGGCTCTTGTAGTTTTTTAAACTATCAGCAAGGTAGGGATTCTCCCTTGGGCTACAAAAATAAGACTGTATTTATTAAAATAAAAACATCAATTTAAGAGACATCTACAATTCTAGGCCAGTATCAACACTTGAAATAAAACTAATACTTAAAACTAGTCCAAAAGAATTCACTTCTATATTAGAGTTAACACAGGAAAGGTACCTTTTATTAAATAAAACTAATATTAAAATATTCTGAAGGCTGATGGGTCATAAAACAAAACAAGTTACCATAAAAGAGAAATAAAGATTACAAAAACTTTGAACTTAACACATGGGATATAAACCATTTACTGAAGATAGAATTACTCTGTCCTAAGAAATCCTCCCAGAATTCAGCACAAGAATAAATTTACACAAAGTAAAAGTAAGTCTAATGTGAAATCTAGAATATAAAAGGATATAAAAGAGAAACTTCTTAAAGAAATAATAGAAAATCTCCTTGGCTTAAGCAAACACTTAAGGATGACACAGTAGAATAAACATTCTCACAGTAGTCTTACTGCATATTGATTACATCTTGCATTAAAATATAATTTCTATCAAACTGCTGAGCTTACAGGAAGAGAAATCCAAAAAGACTCCCATACATCACCAAAATCATCAACAAAACACAAAACAAAACTGTAGGAGCTGGGCCTGGTGGCACATGCCTGTGATACCAGTTCTTATGAGGATGATACAGGAGTATCCTGTGAGTTTTAGGCCAGGCTGGGTTACAAAGTAGTTCAAGGCCAGCCTGAACTGCGTAGCAAAATCCTTTTTGAGAATGAAAAACAGAAACAACCAAAACAAAAAACCAAAAAAATTCATGAAAACCTCTGCAGTGTAAACAGATGTTGATATTGCACTGCAGGTAGGTGGAGAAATGAACTCACGATCTCCAGTTCAGGGCCAAGCCCCTGGAATGGAGCTGTAGTGATCTGAACTCACATACTACTAGGTCAGTGGAAGACTACTCATACATGGATTCCCAGTTAGTTCAGATAATGGTTATCTTACACAGTATTGAGATGTTTAAAGACTTAAAAGATGGAATGCCCAAAATGAACATGCCAAGTATTACACATAATGGGTAGGCAGACAAAATTTAAAAATTTCAGCATTAAAAATAGTAATGAATCAAACTGATTGATATACACAAATATGCAATAGTTCATGTGTCTGTAACACTAAAGAAAACCATGTTCCTGCCAAAACCAAACTGAAAATAAATACACAAACAAAACCTTGTTTGTTACTGCAGATGACTATTACAATAAGACTTTATGCCAAAAAATATCAATGAAAGGAAAAAGCTAAGAGAAGGGAAACAAACTAAGATGTAGCATGCCATTCTAGTAGGAACTACACTCCAAAGTATCTAATAACCCCAAATGATGGGGTTATTATATAGAAATTGATTTTATGCATTTACCAGGGACCCACAATACTTAAAAGTGAAATATCTCTTCTCTCTATTGTCATATAAATATAGAAAGGATCACAAACATAATTCAAAAAATGATCATTTTACAATCACCCATGAATAAGTGGCTTAGGCAAAGACCATCAGTTTTCATTATAGAAAAAAAGATAAGGCAGAACTGAAAATGAACCAAATAGAATTTTTAGAAATGAAAAATTTGGTTACTAAAATAAATTATAACACTGTTAGAGAATAAATTACTATACTGAACAAGAGAGCTAAAGAAATGCAGCATAAAGGAAATAAGGGACTAAACCAAAGGTTAAGAGACACAAAGGATAGAACATGAAATTTTATCAGGATCCTAGAGAAAGGAGAGGAAATAATATTGGAAGAGCTAACAGCCAACAATTTCTAAGATATGATTTAATGATGTGATGCTACAGATCATAAAGTTTATACGAAGTGAAATTTTTAATAAACTAGTTGTAACCAAACTATAGAATATCAAAAACTAAGGAAAAATCTTAACAGTAGCCAGAAAATAAGAATATTCAACAAAATAATCTCACATGAATAAAGTTGAAATAAAAAAAAAATTTCAGACAAAAATTGAGTTTAGAACCAACTAATATCCTCTAAAAGACCTTCCAAAGGATACATGTCATAAAGATAATAATCGCTGACCAAGCACCTATAATCCCTGCTACTTGGAAGGCTGAGCAGAAAGACTGAAAGTTCAAGGCCAGCCTGGGCTACTTGGTGAGCCTTGGACTCAAAATAAAATTTTAAAAGGGCTAGAGTATACTCAGTGGTATAGTGCTTGTGTAGCATGTTTGAAGCCAGTAACCAGTGAGGGAGGGGAGGCAGTTGAAGATCCAAACCTAAAAGCAGCATCAGCCTAGGTTATGTGGAAAAATTTTACATTATTTCAAATAGAAGAATGCTGAAAAGACGAATAGCACCCATTTCAATCTCTTAACATAATCTTCACAACAGAAAAACTGGGAAACTATCAATACAACTTAACAACATAAATAACTTTTCTATTGTAGAAATGAAACATGGGTTCACTTTAAAAAACCATCAGAACTCAAAATAAACACACTGAAAAAAAAAAAAAGCCCTGTGATTACACAACAGATTCTAAGAAAGTTTGACAGATTCATGCAATCAAAAGTCTAAGCATAAAAGACATAGAAGGAAATATCCATAACTTGATTTTATGTATTTACCAGGGGCCCACAACACTTAAAAAGTGAAATATCTCTTCTCTCTCCTGTCAACTGCTACATATGGCAATACCCTAAAACGAGCGAATGCAGTGTCAGACCCATCATCAACAGAAACTAAAAATAAATAAAAGGAAAAATAAAAAATCTCACTCTTTGTAGATGATATTTTTACCTAGAGAACTCATAGTAAGAATGGTAACTTGACATAGGGCTTTGCATTCTTAGGTAACTTTCACTGAAAGGGCATAAGGAGAGGTTCCTGGCCAGTGGGATTTAAATCTTTGAGAAAGTGCTCCAGCAAACCCCTTTTAAAAAAAAATATTTTCCTGGTATATCCATGTCAGTCTTTTGCTTTCTCCCTTCTTTACTGAATGTAAACAAAAAATTCTGAAAAAGTGTTGGCTATCTTGTGATCACGAGACAATAAATTTGAGAATAAATGACTACATACTCTGAAAATGGTACATTTTCACTTCATATTCCATGTTAAAAACTCCAAATGGATTAAACAGGTAAATTTAAAAACGTGTATATACATACAGTAGAAAAACTGGGGATATTTTTACATTTCTGGGATATTTTCAAAAAATAATATTACAAAATGAAGTTAACAATGAACTGTGAGACAAAACATATGTGCCATATAAATTTATAACAAGTTTAACAATCCTTCCCTAAGATACAAAGACCTCTTAGTTAAAAAAACACAAAGCATAAGTAAGAACACAACAACAGAAATGAAGAATGCAAACTTTTAAAAGGTCTCATTCTTCACTCAACAGATCAGATATTATTATTACATTTTTACTCAAATCTGAAGATGTAGGAAAATAAAAATTCTCAATCATTCAAACATCAGGAGCTGTCTATTAATATGCGAATAGTTAAATAAGAGACATCGATGATAAGGAATTCGGTTTAGCCATTACTAGAATATTTTCGTATTCCTTACAATCTAGACAAATCTTTTCAGTTTGCTGAAGTTTTGGACTATTTTTTAATTAAAGTTGCTGAAAATCTCACTGCTATGTAAACATTACTGGACATCATTTCTACTACTAATGGTACTATGGTTATAATCTCAACTATATTTACTGAAATGTAATAGTTTTCTACTCATTGGTAATATTCTTATAGTCTTAAACACATCTAACAGTCATAAGCAGACACACATGCACACACGCACATACATCAGACAATCTACAGGCCTAAATACATTAACATGTAAAGACTCCAAGACACGATCACCTGTAAAATGAAAAAACATATCTGAACAAGAAGCACAGACAAGGAGTGCTGGCACATGATTATAATTCCAGGACTAGGAAGCTGAGGCAGGAGATTCCCCATGAGTTCAAGTCCAGCCTGGGCTATATAATGAGTTCAAAGCCAGCCCGAAATACATAGTGAGCTCCTGTCTCAAGAAACAACAGCCAACACAACACAACACAACACAACAAAACAAAACACCAGGTGTAGCACAATCCCATTAACATTCAAAAGAGAAGACAGGAGGAAGAGGGTAAAATGAGGGACATATTTGGAAAGATACAAATCAGACTGTTAACAGGAATTGACTCTAGATATAGAAATATTATATTCTTATCTTTTTAAAATAATAAACATCTATCTATATATTATCCCATGAGTAACAAGAGAATAACAATACAATTGACAAAAAAAAAAAAATGAAGATAAAACCAGTTTGGGAAAGAAGAAATTAGATGAAGATATGATGACTCCGAGTTACTTACAGGGAATCCAAGTAATAGTCACTAGGAGATATAAATAGACAAGAAAACTAAGAGGGATATTCTTAGAGAAAACAAGAGTAGATGGCTGATAACGTAAGAAAATCCTACAGTGAGTAGGTAAGAGGAAAAAGCTGAAAACAGTACACCCAGTACTACATGTCATAAAAACCAAAAATATATGCACGTGGTAAAAACTTAAACCACTGCTTCTGCGTTTAGCTTTATTATACAAATTACATAAAATAAAGATAAAACCAAAGAAGCAAATATAGATATGTCCAGGATATTTACTAGATCTAGTAACGGTTTAAGGCCACTGTAAACAGTATTTTTAATACCTTTTTACAATTTATTTCTTACTAAAATACGATTAAGTCTAAAAGTCTGAATTTTAACCTAAATAAAAAAAAAACATGTAAACAATTTGATTACAATCAATTTTCTAACAGGTTGTGACAACAGTACATTTTACTTTAAATATTTTATGAAGAAAGCAAACTCACTAAGCTCTGTAATAAGCTTAAGATTCTGCTGTCGGATATTTTCAAACTCTTGCTGCTTTTTCCGCATATGTTCTTCGGTTACTGCACAGCGATCACATAATCCTGCTCGTAACCTGTGAAACAAAAACAAAACATTTTTCATCTACTACAAGATTCTTACACAGGTCAAGTTCCCCCTATTTGAAATCCTTCCTTCACAGGAACCTGTGCATAACCTATGAAATAAGAACAAATCATGTTTCATCTGTAAAAAATAATTTCTTATAAGTAGAGTCTCCCCTATTTGAAATCCTTCCTTCATTGGGTGTTTCAGATTTTTTAACGCCTTATTGTATGGAATATTTATATAGCTATTAGCAGATGCAGAGCATCAATACAAAAATTTAAAATATGAAATATCCACAAATTTGAAACTTTTGGTATGCTGTCACAACACTGAAAAATTTGAGATTTTAAAGTTTGAGTTTCTGAATTAGAGACAATTATACTATATGTGCACTTCAAAATTTTTATGCTTTATGAAGAGCTAAAGAACTGGTTTGGCAAATGTAGTGGAAACAGACTATTTAATGATTTTTTAAATCCTTAATATATTCTTATATACACTGAAATCATGTGACAGTCGCATTTTCTGTCTGTCAATTAAACTCTGTCCAAAGAGAGTTTTTTTTGTTTTTGTTTTGCTTTTTTGGTACCGGGGATCAAACTTGAGACCTTGGGCTTGCCAGGCAGGCATTTATGCCACTGAGCTATATCCTGGCCCTTTAAAATGATGAACCAATACAACCTTCAAAAATAGTTTTTTACTGAAGAAATTAACTTTGTTTTTATTTATTACACGCAAAACATGAAGCCTGTTGAGCACTAAGGGGCCAAATTATGTCTTAAGCAACTCTGCATCTGCTTTATGGAGAATAATATATATACACACAGTGAATGTTCAACAAATTTTTTCTGAAAAATATTAGAAGTCAAGAATACAAAAGAAAAAAGTCACCTCAGATTTTCTTCTCAGCCTTCAAAGCAATCAATATTAGTAAAAACCAACATAAAAAATCATAAAATAGGGCTGGGTATTTAGCTCAGTGGCATAAGCATCTGCCTTGCAAGCAGATGGTCGTGAGTTCAATCCCCAGTACCAATAAAAAAAAAACCTGAAAAAAAATTATAAAGTATTTGTGAATACCAAAAAGGAAACTATGTGTACTACACAAGTGTTGCAGGGATGTATGGATAAGAAAAAGATATTCTAAAATGTTAATAGTTATTTTGCAGGTGACAGTATATTTTCTTCTTCATGTTTTTCCATTCTTTTCAAAATTTCTCCAATTTCAGAAAAATATGGTTAAAAAGAAGACTGTATCTCATAATAGGAATAATAGGAATTCAGACAATATACCTTAAAATAACTTCAACTCAATAACCTACATCAATAGGATATTATGTATTCAAATGTGTATGGAAGTCACAGCACAGTAGTGTACAGAGTAAATTTTAAGAGAATATAACTATTGAACAACTAAGACAAAAAGCCTAGATCTTCTTATATAAATGTAAAACTATTATCAACAATACTGATATTGATGTAAAAAACAAAAAAAGATTAGAAGTTGGGTATGGTGTCAAATGCCTAAAATCTCAAATACTCAGGAACCAGACAGGAGAATCCCAAGTTGGAAGTCAGTCTGGGCAACCTACCAAGATCCTGTCTCAAAATAAGATTGACAAAAGGGCTGGTACAAAGACGGACTGATTTAAAGCATATTTTAAGAAATCACTACATTAATATATATTCTGAGCGGCTGGGAAACTGGTTACCTCTTCAGCATCCTGACAATAGTATGCAGGTCGGAGCCTAAGTGGCTGGGCTGGGAGACGTGAGTACAGATAGGGGTAGGAGGAGAGTAATGAAAGCACGCGGAGTCAGAGTCTCAGACCTAGCCTGTACTTCTGTCATCCGGAACACTGACACCTGACTCCCGAGTCCGCCTGCTTATTATACACAGCAGGAAGGAGCGGGGGCTACTCTCCAGGAGATGTGACCAGCCTGAGAAGATGGGAAGAAAGACCGTTAGGGCATCATTCACCAAACAGACAGCTGAGAGTTCACAGCTCCACCTTTGTACTCAGGGTCATCAATCAATTTTTATCTCTTTCTCTTTACTATAAACAGGTAGCATCAACAAACATCTGAGAAAAGTTTACAAAGTGAGAGACCAAACAAACATTATAAAAGGAAGAAGAAAAAATTTGGAAGAAAAGCTATAGAGAGAAGGGGGAAAAAAACTGTCATCGCCCCAGCAAACTATACAGAATACTCTAGAGAATAAGAAATCTCAAAAGTATAACATAGAAACATGATTAGTACAAAATGAAATATTCTGAGAAGAAAAAAAAAGAAGCATCAACAATGAGGTCACCACAGGCATCTCACACTGCTGCTCTTCCTCTAGTTATCACCCGAGATTGTGGCATTCTTTCCTTTTCTGGCTGATGACTGGTCACATACACATTGTGCTTTTCTTTTTCCTTCTGCCTAGAAGTAGCCGGGATTAACCCAGGGCCTGTTCACTGAGCTACATCCCAGTTTTCCTTTTACCCTTTCCTCTCCTTTCTTTTTTGAGAGAGGGTCTTGCTAATTTACTAAGTGGCTCAGGAAGGGCTCAGGCTTGGCCTCAGCCTCCCAGAGTGCTAGAATTATAAGCACGCAAGAAAAAAAGGCCAGGAAAAATTTCTAAAGGACTAAACGTGCGATTATCAAAATAATTTCAATAGGCTTGGGATAAAATAGTAAATTTCCCACTTGGAAGAAAAAACAAGTAACAGAAAATAACAGATATTGATCTTCAGGTTAATAGATTATGTGTCTAGTACAATGAAGGAAATGCATACATAACACAAAACTCCCATACTTACACACAGTACATTATCAAAGTTCAGAATAAGGGTTTAAAGTTGTTGAACTCCAAAAATCTATTATCTACAAAGGAAAGAACATTAGAAAATGCCTTCAAGTTTTGATGGAAAACAATTCTGAACCTAAAAATTTACATTTGGTCAAAATATCAACTATATGTTACAATAAAATAATATTTTCAGAAAAGAAAGAACTCAGAAAACTCACTTTCAGTGCATTCTTTTTCAGCAGTTAGTTGAGGGTAATCTGAAGTAGAATGAGCTTACTGATACAAAGCTCTGTTGATAGCTTAAAATGAAAACCAACACAAAAGAAAAATAGGCCCACATTTTTTAACCATGTTCACTGGTATACCCTTACAGTTTGAATCGGTGCCTGACACAGAGTTGTTACTCTATGAATATCTCTTCATTACCTAAAATGAAATTAATAAAATAATACAATTAATGCAGAGATCCAAATAAGAGAAACCCAGAATGGAGCCACAGAGAAACCTAGAAATGAATGATGTAGGAAGTTTTTCAATCTAAGATGTTTTATCTTCAAGAAAAGAACTACAAACTGGACACAGTGTCACATAACTGTGATCCCAGCACTCTGGGAAGCTGAGGCAGGATAATTCCAAATTTGAGCCCAGTCTATGTGACTGAGACCTTGTGTCAAAAAACCAAACCAAACCAAACAAAAAGCCATAAATCAGCTAGAGATATAGTTCAGTGCAAAGGGCCTACATTCAATCCTAAGTAACAATAAAAAAAAGAATAAAAAAAGGTGATTGGAATTATAAATAGAATATTAAATATTAATGACAGGAAAATAGAGTTTTTGTCTCAATATGAGAAAAGGTAGCTACAAATCCTGAGAAAAATTACAATTTACAAATAAGTCACTATCACAATATAATTATGGGCTGATCTGGAGCAGCTGGACCAGGGATATACGAGGAAAAAAACCGATTTGATCTGGAAATCACAAATGGCCTCTTTATATGGTCAGAGGTCATGATATCAGACAGAAAGAGAAGGAAATACATCTAAGCTCTGTAGTGCAAACTTACATAGCCTATAAATAATCAAATACAGTTTATTATTTTCTAAATTATATGATCAACTTACATAAACCAAACACAGAAGTCTGAAACCAAACAGAAGAATGTCACCATCAGTCTTGACAATATTCCTGTTGCATAGGTTTTACTGTGAAGGGAGAGGGTAGGAAGAAAAAAGAGCGGTGCACAGAAGCATTACAGTGGGCAAAACACCAGCATCTCCGCAGTGGGAAGGTGAAGGAAGCCTTTTGCAGACAAAGGGATATAAAACACAGATCCGGCAATGGAAGGACTGGAAGTACAAAGGATTAAGATGCAAAATGCCTGTGTACTATCCCTCAAAATGAATGTAATTACTATGTATCACAAAAACATACTAATCAAAAAAGAGACTAAAAAGCAAACAAAACAATGATTTAAACAATGTCTTAAGGTTTGAAGGTAAAACAGATGAACTAAAATAACAACTTCAGGTTTTGGAGGAGACTTAAAATGCCTATGGTTAGAGTTATAAAATGAAGCAACAGTCTGTAGCTTATTTGTTACTTCTAGTTTTTCTTGTTAACTGTCACTCTTAATAACATCTGTGAAAGGGGTCAATCCTTCAATGCTTGCTGATCCTGGTTTAGTTTCAAATGGATGTATTAGAATTTAGCAGATTAATAAGTAACAAGTATGCTAAATTTGTTTGCTATACCCCAACAAGACTTCTTTAAATTTTATTTGTTTTTATTTGACAGGGTTTCAACATTACAATGTACTTTTTTTTTTTGTCTTTTTGAGACAGGGTCTCACTATGCCATTTAGGCTGGTCTTGAACTCACTGTGTAGCCCAGAATGGCCTCAAATTTGTAGCAATCCTCCCGCCTCGGCCTCCTGAGTGCTGGGATCACAGGTGGTGCATTTACATTGGTACTCTTGAGAAAATTTATTCTACCTGTGGTCATTAATTTCATGTAAATACTATTATGGTTATTTCTCATCCTAAAGGTTCTCTTGCCCTTCCATTCAACTTTATATTTTTCAGCAGGTGACCATAAAATTCATGACATACTCATTTATTTTGTTCAATACAAGTCTAAGATTTCCTTCTGGGGACCCTTTTAAGATTTATCCATTGTTTCATGAAACCTAATTTAATTAAATCCAAGGTCACAGTTCTTTTTTAATGTGGGAGCTGATACTGGAAGTACCCTCTGTATCTAAGCATGTAGGGCTTAATTTTCATATCAACACTCTAAGGTAGGTGACAGAACAATTTTTCATATAAAGAAACGGAGGTGACAAAGAATTGAGAATCCATCCAGGATTAGGGGGTGACCCAGATAAATAGATTAAATCTGACAACTCCACTAACCCACATCTTTTGTTTCAAGATGGCTACATGTTGCCGTAAGTTTTTACAGTGTCCCAGGTGTTCTCTTTTGTCTTGCTGACTCCTCTGAGGCATAGATTTGAATTTTAACATAATATTCTTCAGTAGACTTTCTCTAGCTTCTAAGACTAGATTAAATTACTTTGTGTTTATGTAGTAACTTGTATCCAATGGTACAGTATGAATCATACTTTGTTTTTATTGTTTTATTGCTTATCTTTCTCTAGTAGATTATGAGTTGTTTAAAAGAAGTGACCTTATATTGATCTCTTGAACTTATAGCATAGAATATATTAATCTCTTTCAATACAACCAATTACAAATTAAAACCAATAAACTGTACTTTCCATTAGGGGGTAAAATCCTCTTTTACTCAAGTACAGGACTCACCGATCTTCTAAAACTTTAATAGTTTCATGAAGGACTTTCTGTTGTTCTCTCAGCTGTTGATTTTTGGTGAAGAACTCTTCCAGTCTTTGTGCATCTCTGCGAGTCAAGAAATAAATGTGTTTTCAGGGGAAAAAATTCTGCAAAACATTTGTTATTATAACTCCAAAGTTTGGTCTTACTACTTACATGCATCATTAACTTTTTGTATCAGAACAAAAATTAAAAAGTAAGGTGTGAATATTCTGTCAATTAAGAGTTCAAATCACACCAGAATATGTTCTGTGATATTTTTATGTACTAGAGGAATGTTTTCCAAAGTACCATTCATTAACCGATGATGGAACATAGAGGAAAGAGTGGAGTCTGATTTGGCCACTGACAAACTTTGTCAAAATGGCTATCAGACTATATTATCTGGTTTGATTATTTTGTCGACATTTGTTAACATAAACAAGTATCTCTACTCACATTATCTCTGTTCCAATTATGGAGAATTTTCTATTTCTGATAAGGAATCAAAGTATGAAAAGTCCTGCACAATTGCAGGATTTTCTTTTGTATTTCTTTGATTCCTTAATCAAAAAATACTTTAAAAAGAAAACAAAGGTTTACTTGGAGGTGGATAATTTATTAGGTAATTAATTTACAAGGTAATGTTCTTCGTGTTAAAATGCCAAATGGATGATATGGTAGGTATCATTACTTCCTCTGTGAAAAGTCACTACATTTTTTTAAAGTAATAGCTAATAAGTAACATTATCAGGCTCACTAGGTGATCCTTAAGATAACTATTTCAGTTCATAAGTAATGGACAAGGCAAACCCTAGTTCCGAGTTCCACTAGCAAAAACTTAACTTACACTACAGAAGGTATAATAAAGCATTCTTTAATTCTGATTTCTGAGGGATTTACCTACTCATTTGTGATTCCAAAATGTGTAACCCCAATCTACCTAAAGTACACAGGTATAGATTAATTACAGTATACATTAGAAAGTAGTTAAGAAGATAAACTACACAGTGAAGTAAGGCATTATGATCAGCTATTGAATAACCAGTTGTTGTCTCCATCATTTAATTTTCAGAAATGGTATAGGTAATTTTAGAGAAAATAATATTCAACCCTTCATATATAAATTTAAAAAGCCTTTTCATGTGGCTATTTGGTTACAAGTGGAGAGTAATATATTTTGTATAAAAGTCTACCATAAAAGTACCTTTATAAGAAACAAATCTAGATCCTTTTACATTATGTCTAGTCAGTCTCCAGAGAAGTGACTGATTCATGCTAAGTACAATAAAACTATCATTCAAAATGACAGTATTTTAGGAAATAAAATTACTAGGCCTACCTGAAGGATCCATTTTTATTAAAACTAAGCTTCAAAATCACTTTAGTGAATGTAGCTTGAAACATATAATCAAATAGCACACAATGATTTCTAGCCTTAATTCTGCTTAAAAGTACCCATCATTTGGATTCTAAGGAATGTTATTCTCATCAATAGTTATTAATCCAGCATTTACACGTTCATTTATTTCAACACCCACTCAAGGTACAATATAAGAAGTTCACTGTCCATTAATTAACTCTGAAATATTGAACTTGTCATATTAGAAAAAGCTCAAAGGGAACAAGAACTCCTACCAGGCACTGTTAAACACACAGGAGGGGACTTTCAGAACAGCTCTGATACACAAAAGTTTAGCTATTTCATTGGTGTGTAACTGTATCACCAAGCCAAGTGACAGTACTTCTCATTAATACTATTGGCCAAAAAAAAAAAAAAAAAACCATGATGAACTGGCCTATGACAAAACAAAGAGGAAAACAATGGAGTAAGGGTATTTCATAATTTAAAATTTCAGACCCCTGAAAGAAGTATTTTTCACCTCTGAAGAAAAGCCCATTCATTCTTAAATAAAACAAAATACTTGAACTGTTTTATTTCAAATGGGTAGAACATGAGAAATTCTACTTCTGATTAATAAAATGACATTGATTTTTGGCTCATCCAATAGATATAATTTCATTATATTTATTTTAGAAAAATTTTTCATCATAAGGTTTATATATCATATTTATATAACCATGCAGATAACTACACACAAAGTAATACTATCAATATTAATGAAAGTATATTAACAGGCTTGAAAGTTTATGAAAATCTCTCTCACAGAAAGAAAAGAAAATTTGTGCCTCATAAGGAGATCATGACTTCACACTGCACTAGTTACTATGTTCGGAGATACAGAAGGGCTAGTGAAACTGTAGTGACATTTTTGGCCTATTCAATAGTCATTTTTGCTTTTTATTCCTTGTTAAAATTAATTTGTACTTTCTCCAACATCTAATAGCTTCTTAGTGAGAAGTTAATCTTTTCATTTTGGAAATAATTTCAGACCTATAAATAAGTTATGCAGTACCTACATACCTACCCTCAGCTTCTCAAAATGTTTATATTTTGCACAATCATAGTTCAATTATTACAATCAAGGAATTAATGCTGATAATAGTACTAATCTACAGATCTTCTTAAAATTTCACCCACTGTCCTTCTAATATTTCTCTGGTCTAGGACTGCACACTGCATTTCACTCTTGTCAATTAGGTAAGTTTCTTTTTTTTTTTTTTGTCTTTTTATCGGTACCGGGGATTGAACTCAGGACTGCCTGCTTGCAAGGCAGGAGCTTATGCCGCTGAGCTAAATCCCCAGCCCCTATTCGGTAAGTTTCTACATCCTCTTCCTTTCACAAACTTGACAACTCTGAAAAGTGCTGGCCAGTTATTTTGTTGACTATTCTTCAATTTGTGTTTGTCTGATGTTTCTCCACTATAAAATTCAGGTTATGTACTTTTGGTAAGAATACAACAGAAATGATATGTCCTTCTTATTGCATTACATCAGAAGGTACATGAGATAGATTTATCTCACTACTTAGTGAAGTTAACACTGACCATTTGATTGAGGTGTAGTCAGCCAGGTTCCTCACTATGTTACAATTTTTCCCTTGGTAATTAATAAGTACCTTGGCATACTGTTTCTCACCACACTGTCATCACTTATTTTGGCTTCCATGACTCTTTTTTGAGACTTCTCTATAAAGTTCACACTGGCCTCGAACTCACTACGTAGCTCAAGCTGGCTTGATCCTCCAGCCTCATGAGTGCTGGGATTACAAGGGCATGTCACTACACCCAGCTTTCATGATTACTGTCTTCAAAAATTACTGCAATCATGTTTATCAAATGGTGATTTCCTATATCATTCTCTCTACAGTTACTAAATTGAATTCCTCTAAGGAAGAGCGGTTCCTTTATTCTATGGGAAGTATAATTCATTACTAACATTATTTCTTTGTCGAACTATAGATTTTGCCATTGGGAATGTTTTTTCAAATTGTCCTCTACATATTTTTAAGTGCTGCCTTTTTGAATGTGAGCTTATTTTCTGACACCTAAGATGTTCAGCTCATCTTGTGTGTTCAAATTCTCAACAAAATTAGTTATTCCTCCAAACAACACTGATTTCTTTCACGGAAAATACTGTTTAGAAATCAAGATCTGAGGTTAAGGTGTACTTACTACTATTGCAATGTCATTGCTTCTAGTCCCTCTCAGGGGGTTAAGCCTAGACAATACATGTGTGTCCTCTGGCACATTAACATATACCTATATCTATATATATATTAAAAAACATGAATGCACACTGATAACTCCAATTCCTACCAAGCAAGACAGGGCTTCCCTACCACAAGTGTTAACTCCATTCTCCTGACAATAAGAATTCTAGCACACATTATCAATAATATATTTACTTATTTGTTCCATCCTGGAATACACACAAGGCAGTATCAAAATCTATTAGTCTAAACCAAGTATGCTAATTCAATTCCTTTCCAGCTGCCATTTAGGAATGACCACACAATTATGGTCAATAAGTTAGAGGAAGTCTGCTGGGGTGTGCTCTGGCAAATTTCTACAATTAATAAAGAGACACACGCATGTTCAACAAGTAGTAATTAGAATGACCACAACATCTTGTTATTTTACCAAGATTAAGAGGGAAGACCAACATTAACAATGACAGTGAAGAAAGAGCCCAAGATTCTAATAATTTTGAGTCACTGGTTAAGAAACACTAGAATGTCTCTTTGAGTTTTTCTATGTGAGGATAGTTTTCTTACTGTAAAAGTCACTTACCTTGTTTTTGAGGTAATAAAATATTGACCTAATAAGATATGCATCCTAAGTTTACTACTCAGGAAAGTTTTTTAATTTCCTTTGTAACCAAAGAAACATCTCTCAGTTGTGAGAACTAAATTAAACTCTACTGCAGTAACAGAGAAATGGGTTATGCAATGGTTAAGGAGGTCTAAAATGACACTTTTAAGTAGGAATATGTACACTTTCAGCAATATAAAACATTCCAGTGTTACTAAGAATTTTTACTAAGAATAAACAATTCAACACAACTTTTTAAATTTTATAACTGTATATTTCTGAATCTGTGTCCACAAGATAATAGTACCCACTACTTTATATATACTATATCAGTGCCACATCAGGTATTAATACTTACAAAATGCGTTCCTTTTTCAGTTTGGTTACTTTTACTTGTAAACCTGAAAAGTAAAAAGAAAAACACTCAGAATGTTTTATTTATACATTTCACTATTTCTGAGGCAGTCATTTAAATTCCCCTGCGAGTCAAATGCTACACGATTAAGTTACTTTAGTCTGGTCTCTGAATAATGAACTAAATCCCAGTGAGCCAAAGTGTATTCCCTTACTTTACCCTGAGGTCTCCAAAGTATACAAGCAACATTATTTCTTTTAATCTACATATGACAGACAAGTAGAATGAAAATTTCCTCACCTAAAGTGAGTTATTTCCTTTCTTATAGCAAGGGCAAACATGTAATTAGGTGTTCACTATAAATGAAGGCCTATCTCCTGACACAACTGACAAATACTAAGAGCAACTGTACTTATATAAATTCAAATCTTTTAGGATTAAACTAGGTTGTAGCAAGAAATCCTGGATTAGAAGCAAAATTGCTTTCAGAAAAGTACTTAACAAAGGGCAGTAACATTTTTATCTCAAGATATTTGTTACTTTCTAAAAATTAAGCGTAACACAAAATGAGGAAGACCATTGCTTATCCAACTCAAGTAGTTACTAAGAAAAAGCAGCCTGACAGCAACAACACTGCGAAGAGTATGGACAGACTACTGTAACATTTCTAATTTTTACAGTAACAAAAGAAGTCAATAAACAAACACTAAAATACACCCACTTCAATTAGCAGCTAAACTGAAACAAAAGCAAATCAAAACAATCACTTAGGAATTATAAAAATTATAATAACCAATCTTTATAAAAGTATTGTAAAGCTATGCTTCTCTACTCAATGTATTAGAAATTGCACAGTTCTTTGCAATCCAATTTAGCAATATATCAGAAGTGTTTTTAGCAACATCTCATTTTGTTTATTGAGCAACAGCAATCAGTCAGAAATATGTGTATTACACAATCCTGACAATCTGATTAAAACTACTTCAAAATATATACTACAAAGAATCACATCAAAAGTTGGATAATGGTTGAATTTTTCTGATTGAATACATACCTTTCTCTGTTCCTTATTTTCTGCAACATGATTCAAATAAAGGAAGAAAAACATGCAGTTTTATTCTTCAATTCTTAAACTAGTGCTTTTACAATTCTACAATTTCCCAAACTGTAAATATCTTAACAATTTTTCAAAATAAGTTGTTTACAAAAATGCAAAATTCTTGGGGCCAGGAATATAGCTTAGCAGTGCAGTGCCTGCCTGGCAAGTGCAAGTTCCTGAGTTCGATTGCTGGTAGCCCCACCCCAACAAGTAAAGTTCTGTATCTACTCAAGAATTTCTTCTATTTGGGAAGACTTAGTCCCCAACAAGTAGTTATTAGCTAAATAATTTCTGAAAGTTCAGATTATTTGTTATTTGCCTTTAATAATTTATGATCTAGTAAGTTATATATTTAGAAAAACTTGCCATGAATATATTAATGTATTTCCAACAACAGATTTTTTTGTATTATCTGTGTAATTTAGTACCATCTTTTAGGTAACATAATTTAGACAAGAATTTTTTTTAAAACTTGCACATTTCCTCACAATTACAGATAGAAAATGAAGAGACCACCTCTTCATACGATCCAAGGAGTAATAATTCAATGCCAGGAAACCCAGATACTGTAGAAAAATAAAGACCACTGAGCAATTTTCAAACATCATGCTTTTTGCCTTATTCCCTTCAATTTTATCTCTAGGAAATGTCCAACTGATAAGACACATTTTACTCTCAATTCCATATCTTAAAATTTAAGTAAATAAGTGTTATTTGTGAGAGATTTGGAAAACAGTTACAATAGGTAACAACAAATGGAAAACTTATCTTTTAAAAATATTAAGAGTAAAATCTAAGGTGATGTTTTAAAAATCTTTTCATCTGTCAAATTCCTAGCCTGAGATGTTTTCTTTCTTTTTTAGGTAGTGATGATAAACTCATAAGACTCTGAAAGTATTCAGTAAAGCATAAAATCATCCCTATAAAATGAAGAAAGGAAGAATTTATTGGAGGCTGAGACAGGATGATCACAAGTTTGAGCCCAACCTGGGCAGCTAACAAACTTGGTGAAACCTTTTAGCAAAAAGAAATTTGTGAACCTACTATGCTAAAGACCAGAGTCAGTAGTTTTGCTCTCTTCTTCCTTTCCCAAAATGCAGTGAAATAAACCCACTGACAGATAATTCTTGTTTTTAGTTTTGGCTGACTTCTAAAACTCAGGTCTGCTTTCCTAAGTGAAAAGTATAGCCAGAGATGAAATGGATTTTTGACATGAACCATTTTAAGAAAAGAAACACCGAGACTGAAAACGCACATAAACTTCAAAAGAAAACTCTTGGGAAAGGTGGAAAGACTCCTCTTTTATCTCGTAAGTACTCAACACTCGCTAGGCAATTGTCCTGTCTCGCAGATCAGCCTGAAAACAGGTTTGTGTGTGTGAGTGTATGTGTGTTTAAATTTTAACATTTGTTATTCATCAAGTCAATTAGACATCTGCAATTAGAACCCCTATAAAGTGTGCTTTAATCCTGCTCCACACCCATCGGAAGGAATGAGGCTATACAACAATGCAGCTCCTGTATGAACAGGTAGCTGGTTCAACAAAGCATTTGGGTTTTAACACTGGCACTTTGAGATACCTATAGAGAAAACTGTATACAAAAGGCCAAGGATGGTACTACAATTAACCTTACTCTTACTTATATATGAATTCTGTAGAAATAAAATGAGGGCTCATATATGTAGTTGTAATATACCAAACAAGGTTAAGTTAGAATTCAGAAATGAGGAAAGAGTTCAATTGGTTATAGACAAAAATCATCATGTCACATCATAGAACCAAACAAAGTGCATAAACTGTCAGTTTAAAATAAGTTACTCATGGCTCCACACTACAAAATTAATGTGTGGAGCCAAGGGCCTTTGCCCCTAAACAACAGCTCCAGCCCTTTAATTTTGAAACAAGGTGTTGCTAAGTTACCAAACCAATCAGAGTGGGCTTGAACTCACTGTCCTCCTGCCTGAAGCTTCCAGAGTGTGGAGATTATAGACGTGTGTGCCCTTTTGGGCTCAACTGGTTTTTCTGGACAAACAGTAGCTTTATGCATAGTTGAAACAGTTTAATCTTAGCCAAAAAATACAGCTAATACTGTTTCTGTTAACTGTCTAGTAAACTGTTTCAATTCCAAAGTAAGAACTCTTATCTACATGAAATCAGCATATTTAAGGTGTGTGTGGGTTTAAGATATGGCTCAGTGATGGACCACTTTCCTAATACATGTGAGGTCCTGGCTTCAATCCCCACTACTTCGTGGGTGAGGAACAGTATTTTTATGGTGTGCTTATTTTGCTTAATTTTTACTTCAAAATGGGTAAATTGCTTTTACTAAATTTTCAATTGTGAATGCAAATGAAAAAAACAGGTGTGAATTACAACAAACAAACAAACAATACTGATACGGACTAAAATTACATACAATTTCTTTGTTAATTTGTGAGTTTTAATGTTCTCATAGAAATTTTGATTGAAGCATTTGAGAAAATAAACGTAGTAGTCCAAAACTGAAAGAAGAAATATTTATCTTGTTAGGCTAGGGATATAGCTCAGTGGTAAGGTAGTACTTGTGCAGTGTACAAAAGGTTTTGGGTTGTAGATGCAGCAGTAAACACACACACTATCATATTAAATTTATACACGTTTCCATTTCTTCAAAAGGGTTCCACTCCTGTCCCCAAAATCTGGCTATTTTCTATGAAAGTATTCCCACATTTACCAGATACAGAAGCTGTGTTAGTTAAGATGCAATGGCAGAATATGGCATGAACAAGAAACCATTTACTAAAATTTGATGTTCTGAAAAATAAGTATTCTAAAGTCCATTATCTGTGCTTTTATAGAAAATCCCACTCTGTAAGATTTTAAAAGACAAAAAAATTATACTCAATGTACTTAAAATTTAAGGAATTCTCAATTTAAAACAGAAAGGTTGTATATATTAACAATGATTTATATTCATTCTGATACCACCAGCATTGGTCATTAAGATAAATTAAAAAATTTAAGAACAATCCTTAAGAATAAACAAATGAAAAGACACAATTATCCTAAAAATAGAAGACAAAAAGCTGGTTGCACGTCTCCAGCAATTTTCCAAAAAAAATGATTTTGTATTTTCATCCTGCTGTTCTTTAACAGAAGCTGGGAGATTTTGTTTACTCTTTTCTAGTTTTACAAGAAATACGAATACTTTATTGCATTGTAACCAGTACATGCACTATGCTGTATATGGCATATTTTGCAATCATTTTATTATGTTTTGGTCAAATGATGCAAAATCTCCCCAAATCTCTACAAACAGTAGGGAATTCAGACATGTGTAAATTCTTAAGTGTAGACTTCACTGGTTATTACTATTGCAAGTACTACCATTCATAACATTTCTCCTTGTTATTATGAGGCTTTAGAAGTAATGAGTCAATTTTGATTCCTATATATACTTCAAAAACCACAATGTCCAGACAAGTCCACATTTGATGTCTTAAAAATAGTCTCTTGCATTGGTTTTTCCAAATGGATTCCCCAACTTCAAAAAAAAGAGGCACTTTCACACATGTCTATGATATTATCACATAATCAGAGGATCTAATTTTAAATGGAACTATTGACAGAAGACTAATGGAAGACATTGGCAAAAGACTAATATTTATTTATTATTTTATTTTTATTTTTTGGTACTTGGGATCAATCTCACAACCTTGTACTTGCACCACTGAGCTAAATCCCTGGCCCAAAAGACTAATATTTAAAAATCCCTGCATTCAGCAAATTTTCAGTGGCTTAAAACCAAAACGTTTTAAAATGACATCAACTTTTTATAAAAAAACAAAAAAACAAAACAGTACTGGGCTGGGAATTTAGCTCAGCGGCATAAGTGCCTGCCTTGCAAACGCACAGTCCTGAGTTCGATCCCTGACACCAAAAACAAACAAACAAACAAAACAGTACTTATTTAATAGCCTCAGGATCTGTAAGTGATTTGGAATTAGGAAAAGTCGTTTAATCATTGTAATATACAATCTCTTATCATCTTAAATATATATTCAATCCCTACAATTCATAAAACACATAGATGTTAAACATATATATCAATAATATATTCTACCTTTCTACTTTTTAAGTATGTTAACTTTCCTCAGAGCAGGATGATCTACTAAGAATGTAACCATGAGGAGGACACAGTATAAAAAAATGATCTACTATGTAACATTTGTCAGACTCTGTAATCTGATTGATATGGCATACTGTTCTTATTAAAGAGTAAAAAGGCTAGGTTCTTATTAAAAAGTATAACTGTAATCCTGGATACTCAGAGGTTAAGACAAGAGGACTGCAAGTTTCCTTGCAGCCTGGGAAACTTAATAACATCCTAAAATAAGATTTTTAAAAATGAGGTTGGTATGCCTGGGTTGAATCTTAGTGATAGAGCACTTGGGTTTACTCATCAGTATTGCAAAAACAACAAAAGGGCTGGGGGTGAAGTTCAGTGATAGAGCACTTTCTAGCAGAAAAATGAGACCCCAGGTTCTATCCTCAGTATGGGGTGGGAGAGAAGGTGGCGATCCAAAAAAAAAAAAAGTATATTGTTCATTTTCTTGGCACCTCTTAAAAAAATAGAGGTCTCTAGCCAGGTGTGGTGGCACACGCCTGTAATCCCAGCACTTGGGAGGATGAAGCAGGAGGACTGCTTCAAGTTCAAGGCCAGCTTGGGCTACAAAATGAGTTTAAAGCCAGCCTGAACTGCACAGTGAAATCCTATCTCAAAAAACAAAAAACAAAACAAACCAGAGGTCTCCTCAAGACTCTAATGGTGAGGAAAAAAATCTCTTCAATATTTTATTTTTTAAAAACTAAATATTAAAACTAGTCCAGTTAAGCAGGTTAGTCTGTTATCACTATAATCAAGTACCTGAAATAATTAACTTGCAAGTAGAAAAGACTGATGCTGACTCAACAGTTTGGAGGTTCTGGTCAAATGGACCCATTGCTCTGGAACTCTGGTGGGCAAGCTGGCAATGACAAGGAGTGCATGGCAGAGCAAACTGCTTACCTCATGGCCATGAAGCGAAAGAAAATGAGGAAGGGGCTGGGGTTTCACAATCCACTTCAAGGCCAAGCCCTCAGCGACCTAACGACCTCCAAATGGAGCTTATCTCCAAAAGTTCCACCACTTCCCAACAGCACCACTCCTGGACTAAAGCCCATAATAATCAGACTTTTGGGAGACAGTTATCCACAACCACAGCAATGGAAAGTGACAGTTACACATGACATGAAAAATATCAGTACTTTAATTAAATAATAGCAAAATGATATAAATCAACATGTACAATGACCAATGTAACAACCTATTTGCAATTCTTTTAATGCTCACAAAGAAGGAGCTGGGAGCATAGTTTAGTAATGGAATGCATGCCCAGCATGTGATTCCATCTTGAGTATTGGAAAAAAAAAAGTCTTTTTTGTAGAGCAGTGACTTAGCTTACTTTCCTAACTATACAGAATATTATCTAAAAATTTAAAAACTATAGTATGTGTTTCAGGGATTTTGGATACGAAATTTGGTATTTCATATATTACGAGTTTTTACAAACTTAAGTTCAAGAAAATGTTCTGTGGATCCAACTACAAATTGCAATTCCCTTTAGATACTGATTTTTTACTATGTGCCAAAAAACTTTTACCCAGAGAACTATAAAGATATGTAAGATAGGTAAACATACACAATAAAGACCAGTTACTACAGAAAATAATTATTTGAAGAATAAAGAATTTAACATTATACTTAAAGATGTCAGAAGACTAATATCCCTGTATTAAATGTTTAATGAAAATTCAAGTACCTCTATCCTATTTAGATTATTGCAAAGTATTTTATTTACTTCTAGTTCACAAAAATACTTTTTACAATAGGTACAAGTAAGTAACTCTCCCATAATAGTTTAAACTTAAAGCTGTTCTTATTATTAAACCTATATACTTGGATAAGTCTAATTAAATTAAAACTGAAAGGAAGATATTGCCACACTTCAGTAGAAGCTGGGAAACTATTTCTTCCCAGTTTTAAAGAAATATTCATGGTAGGGGCTGGGGATTTAGCTCAGCAGCATAAGCACCTGCCTTGCAAGCAGGCAGTCGTGAGTTCGATCCCTGGTATCAATGAAAAAGAGAGAGAAAAAAAAAAGTATACATGGTTTACTGCATTGTTATCATGAAAGAACACTATCTTTACTTTTTGTATGTGTAAATTTTCTTTTTAAAAAATATTTAAAGAAAAAGAACATACTTTCATACTTTAGAAAATTCTGGAATAAATGCTCAAATATTATAAAAGGAGTTACTCATTTGTGTTGAAGGGGCAATTTTTCACTGTTTTAATTTTGTATCAAAATGTTTATAATTTATTCCTTAAATAAAAAATCAAGCTCTATCTCCAAATTTTTACCTATGCAGCTCTCCCTACTCGGATAATTCTTTCTTCCTTCCCATGTTTATTTAGCTAATTAGAATTACTCAAGGATAAAGCTGGTCTGACAGTAAGTCACAGATACACACATACCCCTGGTTCTTCCTTTAAGTGTCCAAATAATATGAGAACTCTGCATTACAATTCTAGATTAAAAATTCCTAGTGGGGTATTGTGGTAGACTGCCTATAATCCCAAAGCTTCAGAGGCTGATATAGCAAGATCTTGAACTGGAAACCAGCCTGGGCTACACAGCCTTGGTTTCTTTAAAAAACAAAAAAATGAAAATTAAAAACAAAAAAGTGGCCTTTACAACTAGGGTTTATACCTGATTCACTTTTATTTACAAAGTCTGGTATACTTTAAGTGCCCAACATATAGTACTTGAACAAGTGACTCCAAATACACTGGGATATGCAAGAATACTTTAAAAGTTCATATTTCAGAATTAATTAACAAAGAAGCTATCATAATAAAGTTCTGTCAGGAACTAAATTTACTACGGTAAAGTTCCAATGCAATTCCACATACTACACTTGAAATTCAGGTGGCTGTTGTAATAGTACCCCAGTATAATGTAAAATATGCACTACTGCAGCGTAAACTCATGGGTAGGACCAATAGGTTATTAAAAAACAACTATAGACCAGAGATTTAGTTCAGTGGTGCCATGTCTTCCTGGCAAGTGTGAGATTCTGAGTTTGATTCCTGGTACTCACTGATCCCCCACTCACTGACTAATACGAAGCATCTCCCATATAAAGGAATACTTACTAAACATTAAAGTTCCCCAATTAAAGTATATTGAAACTTAGTATCAAACCTTGAATTTAACTTTAATACAAGGTCCTTTACACAAAGTACATTTCAACACAAACAATACTTACATACTCATTCTAACCACAATTAATCCTCTGTACACTCAGCACTTCTTATAAAGTACTTTTTAACTCTCATTTCATTGTATTGTAATTATGTTTCCCTAGCTGTCTCAACTAGACTGCAAGATCTTTGAAAGTAAACTGCCACTCACTTTTGCATCTCAGTGCTTAGCAGCAGATTCTCAGAGGCTTGTCAAACAACTTAAATGATATTTTTACATCTATAAATAATCTTGCAAATAACTTTACAATAAAAAGTTAAGTTCTGAAGTTATGTGAATTAGCTGAGATCACAGAACAAGTAGACAAATGAAGTTACTGTCTGAATCCAATCTTCAGTCAAAAAATTCTACTTTACACCAACCCATTATAGTAAAGCGCTTGACTTATGAACATTTGAGTTGCAAACTTTCACAGACATGAACAGACAAATGGACCTCTCAATGCAAACATTCACAGATGTGAACAAATAGCTTATGTGTCTTCCAGACATTGTTTCAGTTGTGCTTCTGTGTGCTTACTGCACAGTGCAATAGTACAGTAGTACAGTATACTCAGGGACTTCCTGTATTTTGGTGTGTTTAGTTTTTTTAATATATACTTTGTATATTTGTGTCAAAGATGTATCAGGATTCACTTTGCTGCATGAATCCAACTTATGAACATCCTCCCAAAACAGAACTTGTTTGTAAGTTGGGGACTTACCATACATGTTATCCCAAATAACTGTAAGCTGTATGTCCTATAGTAGCTATGCACAGTCAGCAAGTAAAAATTGATCCATAAAAACAAAACACAAAAAGTTACAATAGTAAATGCCCCTTTAAAATAGAATATTTACCTGGGTACAGTGGCACACATCTGTAATTCTGCTATATATGAGGCTGGAAGATTAAGGGTTCAAGGCCAACCTGGGCAACTCTGAAACCCTATCTCAAAATTTAAAAAGAAAAAAGGAGTGGAAATGTAACTCAAGGGTAACATGCCCCCTGGGGTTCAATTTCTCGCAGCACTACCAAAAACAAAAAAGGAAGAGAGACACAAAGGGATATGTGAACCTAAAAATATTACTTCCTTCTATAAATATATTTTAAAAAAACTATCAAAGTTAGTTTTACTATTACAGTCTCAACAAAACACTGATCACTTTAAGAAGGGTTTACCTTGCACTTCTTTATCATGATACTCTTTCAGTTTGGTCCAAAGTTCCTTAAAATCATTAGATACATCTGCAGAACTAGGGCTTCCACAACCACTTCCAGAGATGTTCATCCTGTTTAATAGGCTCTGCACTTCTATTTGCTTAATGTGTTCAGAACTCTTCTGTTACATTATATAAATGTGAAGTTTTTCAATGGTTGAAGTACCTGAAATGACAGAATGCAACATAAATAAATCTGCAGTTATCTTTATGTAATGTAAATGAGGATGAATCCTGCTACATCTTTGAAACAAATATACAATGTAAAATATTAAAAAAAAATCAAAATACAGTAAAGCCCCTAAGTATACTGTACTACTGTACACTATTGCACTGCTGTTTCCAAGTTTGATTTATCCACAATTAATCATTTTCAGAATTTGGGAAGGCCTGGGGAGTGAAGAAATCAGAAAATAATGGTGAGAAAAGCTCTGATTTCAATTATTTGGCCATAGAGCAAAATTTTCTCATTCCACCTAAAAAAATAATTGTCTAAAGCCTATTAAACTGAAAGAAGTCTCCATCTGAAAGGTTTGTTATCATTCACAATCAATCAAGAGGAGGGGGAATGAGGAGAGGGGAAATACATAAAAATAATTAACACATATAACGTATATGTATCAACTTCCCATGATGAGTGCAATCATTATGTACAAATAAAGAGACCACTACTTTTTTAGCTTTTAAATTGATATGGAATACAACATTATATCAAACCAGAAATTGGAAAATATTCCGAAATATTCCTTAACAAGCATGCACACACTTCTATGTATGTACAGACATTACAGAAGCACAAGACAGATGATTAACATAGTAACACGTGGGGATTTGTGTATCTTTCTGAGAAGAGAAGGCAGTTAAAAGACAAGACACAGTTAAAGTCTATCAATACAAAAACATTTTATATTTAGAAATACAAGATGACTGTGTGTGTCTCTTTCATAATAAGAGCTAAATAATTACATTTTACTTACAGAATACCTTACAAGAAGCAACAAGGTTATTAACAAATTCAACTGGCATGCCTGTAATCCTAGCACCCTGAGAGGCTGAGGCAGATCCTGTCTCAAAATAAAAACAGGGCTTATGATGTAGCTCACTGTGAAATACTCAATATCCAGTACTAGAAAAAATAAAGCTCAGATGGATCAATGTTTTAATATGTGTTCGTAAACTGAAATTGTCAATTACCTAAAAAAGTACTGATTATAAAGTTTACGAAACACATCTGGCTCCTTAGTCAGTCCATACCATTACTAACAAGTGTGCAAACTAATTTAAGTGTCTTTTACTAATCATTTACTGAGATAAGTGATCTAAAACAATAAAATTTCTAAAAGGAAGAGAACTATGTGTGAAATCACATGGTAATCTGTAATGCACTACAAAAATATACATTATGTTTTTCAAAAACTGCAATTAAGAGGTAAAAATAATCAGCAAAAACTGAACATCTACTGGATTGCAGATATTAGGGAGTTACTGTTAATTCTGGGTGGCAAGATAATGACATGATTCGTTTTTGCTAAGCTTTATATAGGACTGGGGATATAGCTTGGTGGCTGGGTCCTGGGCTGAAGCCTCAGCATCACGAACACACACACACACACACACACACAAAGGCCTTATGTGTTAAAGGACCTATACTGAAGTATTTACAAGTAAACCAACACATTCTCTGGGACTGGTCTGAAAACACTCCAGGTAAAACAAAACAAAACTGGACACCGCAAAGGAAAATGAAACAAGAACCAGTGAATTTTCAAAATTATTGAAGTTGAGAGCTGGATGGCTTTATGAAAGCGTTCACAATTTAATTGTCTCTTGTGTTCATTCATTCCCACATGAACATTTGTAAAAGTGTAATGAGGCATACTGCATTAATTCAGTCTCATTTTAAAAGAAGCCTGTATTCTATTTTAACCATAAAAGATAAATGAGCCTACATTAGACAACACTGTGTATAATAGCATAAAATTACGCTATTTACATTTACTGCTTTATCTATTCCTCAGAACTCTATAAAACAGCTACAAATATTAATTCCATTTTATTATTTTGAGCTGAGGAAATTGGTGTCACAGATTAAATGACCTAAAGTCAACAGCCAGTATTCAAGTCGTGGGTTCAAAAGACAGTTCCTTTGTAGCCAAAAAAAAAAAAAGCTTTGTGTAAGTTCAAAATCATAATTACTTGCATGAAAAACTTACAATTGTACACTACGTACTGGTTTTAAACTGAGTGCAAATTTAGTTTAAAAACTTGAGGTAATTAAAATAATTCAGTGCTTTATAAAAACACTATCAGTATCAAAACTGGAAATTCTGATTCACAAAACCCTTTCTACGTACCCTGCAGGCCCAGCACTCTGTGGCCGCCTGTGACAGGGGACCGTTACTCACTGCTCACACTGAGCCTTTCTCCCTCAGCTTGCACTTCCTGCCTCTCGGCTGCACCAGGGGTTGTGAAGCTGAGGTTAACCTATCGCTGCGCATCCCTCCGCCACACTAAGGAACTGTCACACCACAGAGCCGCGTGGGGAAGTGGGCCGCACAGAGCCCATGAGCCGCCGCCTCACGAACAGCGAACTCACTGCGACTCTGTCTCCTTCAGCCTTTCCTAGAGCGTAAACGCTGCATTTGGAACCAGCGCGGGAAACGCTCGCGACGCGCGGGACGCATGCGCGAGAAGGGCACCGCCAGCGCGCTCTGGTAACGCGAGCGCGGTGTACTTCCGCTGAGCTTAGCAGCGTCTCCCCAGCCCCTAGCCCCGAGCCATACCCTCCACCGAGCGCGGAGCTCCACACCGGAAGTAGCCTCTAGGACCCTGCGCTACGGGCGGGGGGGGGGGGTGAGAAAGAGGTCCTCGCACGGCATCCAGGGCTGCCTCAAATTCTCCAGAGCCCCAGCAGGAAAGCGGATGACTGCCGGGACGATGAAGGGATGACAGCTCGGCGTTCTTCTTTTTAGCCTCTTTTCCCCAGCTGACTGCCAAACCCTTAGCGGAGGAAGCCTACGCTTCCAGTCAGCGGCGGAAAGGCCAAAGAGCGGCCGGCCGGCCGGCGTAGAGGCGGCGGGACCCGGGAGCACTCGATGTCGCGTGACGTCGAGTGACGTCATGTCGGAGTTCCCGCGCCACGCCCCTTCCTCCAGCTGAGGAGCCTGAAGTGCGGGATGGAGCGCTGAGGAGCTCGGCTGTGGGGCGCAGCTCTGGGGCTCCATTAGCGGCACGAAGAGCCTGGGCGACCGCCGCGGTGATATGGAGATGTCCTGAAGGAAACCCAAGCCGTTCTGCCCGAGGAGCTTCCAGTCGCTGGTGTTACGTGAACGTTTACTGTGAAGCTTCCAGTGGTTGGTGTTACGTGAATGTTTACCGCCTGAAGCATACTTCAGGGAAGCGGTGTGTGTGAGTGACCTGTGCCAAACGGAGAGTCAGAAAACAGCGGAAGGCGGGCGGGAGCCTGAGGGAGAAGGAACGCCAGTTTGAGGCCGGCGTAGGCAATTTATCTAGGGAGACATTATAAAAAATTTGAAAAGGACGGGGATTTGGGTACAGTGGTACAGCGCCCTGGGTTCTGGGTGGGGCAAAGTCCTGCAGACATCAAGATACTGTCTTGAAATTATCAAGCAACCGTAGGAAAACTTGACTTTAAAAAATTTACCTTACCAGAATGTTAACACAACAAGTAATAGTGGTGGTTTCTGATATCTTATTTCAAGTTTACTAGAAGTTTTCCGATTAACTTTAGCAAAATAAACACTGTTGAAATATGGCGTTAAATACAGTCCTGTTGTACCAGGCTTCGTGTTGCACGCCTGTAATCCCAGCGCTGGGGAGGCTGAGGCAGGAGGATCATTGCGAGTTTGGGACCAGCCTGGGTTACAAAGTGAGCTCAAAGCCAACCTGAACTGCATAGTGAGACCCTGTCTAAAAAGAACAAAACAAAAACAAAACCAGTCCTTCAGGTTACATCACTAAACTGTAAATAACAGATAGGAGGCCAAAAACTGCATCAGACTAATCCATGACCATTCTCACACCAACTCATTTTTAACTTTACATTGTTTTATTTAGGTTTTTTTTTTTTTTTTTTTTTGACACGGGGTCTCTCTGTGTAGTTGAGGCTAGCCGCGAACTTGCAGCGATCCTCCTGTCTCAGATTAGTTTGTCAATTATCCCCATATTAACAGAGTACTTTTGATCCAAAGAAAAACTGAGCAGAATGACATAATTTATTCCTGTGGCTTCTAGCAACTAGCTATCCAATCCATTTATTCAAGTCAGAATATGAAGAATCATCCTGGTTATTTTCTTTTCCCTTAGTCCCCATGTCCACTCCATCACCAAGCCCTGTCAGTTTTACTTATCATTAAAACTGAAACCATCACCTTTATCACCACTTGTGTAATCCAAGATGCCATTGTCTTTTGCCAGATTACTGCTGGTCTACTTTTTTTTTGGTCTTTTTTCATTTTTATCGGTACCAGGGATCGAACTCGCGATTGCCTGCTTGCAAGGCAGGCGCTTATGCCGCTGAGCTAAATCCCCAGCCTCTTTGCTGGTCTACTTTCTACATCTACCCAACCAACCAGTTGATCTAAACTTTTCTCTGGCATTCAGGGAAGTTTTTGAGCATCAACTCCCGATCTGCATATATATTTAATTTCAGATTGTGTATGTATATGGCTGTATACTATAATAAGAGGCTCTGGAGCCATTCCTCCTGGATTTCACTCCTGCTCTAATACTTTCTGGGTGATACTGGACTGGTTGTGTAATCTCTGACTCATTTTCCCTGTCTGTAAAATGAGGATAGTAATATGGATACTAACCTCACACGGTACGAAGATTAAGTGAAGTAATATTATATAAACTGTGTAGGATAATATTCAGATTATATATGCTCAATAAAAGCTAGCTGTTACTAGTTTTTCCAAGAAAATAGACAACACATTTTAAAGATTTTTTTTTTAAAGAATGAGAAGGAATGGAATGCAATAGTGTGCCTATTTTGAGACAAATACTGTGATCTTCGAAAGCGTATGTGGTATCACTGTTGCTCAAACCTCTTCATTGGCTGGCTGCTACTTTATGAAGCAAACTCCTTTGAACTGGCCTCTGCTACTTCCAGCTTCATTTTTATTTTCTCAACTCAGGCCTCACTGGCCTTCAGTCTCTTCCAAGACCTTTATCTACTGTTGACTGTGCCTGGAAATCTCAACCTACCTCTACCCTTCACTTTCTTATTTACTGATAGCTTCTTATTTTGTTTCAATAGACTTTCCCTTTCCATTTTATACTTTTTTTCTTACAGTTTTGTCCCTTCTGGACTGTATCTTATTTATATCTATTTTTAAAACTTAAAACTGTATCATTACTCTTGATGAATGAATTGGGCATGCCTCGATGGAGTCCTATTTTTAATGTTAAGTGGCCACCTTTGGGTACATTCAAAAATCTTGGATTATCTTTACGAGATTTAATAATGGTCACTTTAACTGTGGAAATGGTGGCTGTCCTAACATTAAAAATACAAAAGTGGGTGTGGTGGCACATGCCTATAATCACAGAACTTAGGAGGCTAAGGCAGGAGGATTATTGCCAGTTTGAGGCCAGCCTGGGCAACAAAGTGAGCTCAAGGGCAACCTGAACTGCATAGTGAGAGCCTGTCTCAAAGAAACAAACAAACAAAAAAATTGCTTACTATAAAGCACTTCAAGAGCTACCATAATGGAGTAATTGATGAAGTCCCCAAATTACCTGCTAAAAAAAAATCTCTTTATCAAAGAAGCAGTTACTTTGAACTCTTCATTTGATTAGGATTTTTGTATTCTATGACTTAAAACAGTATTTCTCAGACCATTTAGCCATACTTAGAAAATGAATACAATCCGCAAGTTATGGTGATTCAACTTAGTATTCTTTGATTTAAAATGGTGTAAAAGTGATAAGTATTCAGTAGGAACTATACCAGACTTTCATCTTTTCCTGCACTAGCAATATGCAATGTGATCCCCTCATGATACTGAGTAGTGGCTTTGAGCCACAGTTGCCAATCAGTCACTTGATCATGAGGAGAAGCAGCCAATACCGTAGGGATGCTGTGTGGCTGAACTAGGATGCTAGGATGTTTGATAGGTGCTTTTTTTTTTTTTTTTTTTTGAGGATATAATGTAAGATTTTCATACTGAGCCCTCAGCCCTTTAATTTTGTATTTTAAGAAAACACACTTAACTCACTAAGTTTGCTCTAGGCTGGGTTCAAACTTGCCATCTTTTTGCCTTAGTCTCCCAGAGGCTGGGATTGCAGACGTGCATCACAGTGCCCAGCTTTAAATGCATTTTTATCAAGACATAAACTCATTGTCAGTCAAGGTGCATCTGTACTTGTGTTACATATTGTAGGGAAAGAATGCAACTGCTTTCATCCAGAGACAACAGCAGCTGAGACTTTTGCCAGCCTAGGGCCAGTGCTACTATGATCAGGCCTGGAAATTTAATGTCTCAGTACCCCTAAAACCAGCTAGAGACTCTATTCAGATGCTCAATTTAAAAATTGTGTGTGTGATGAAATGTTTAAACTCTATCTTAGATATGTTTAACCACAGTATTTTTAAAAATACTGGTTGTGCTCTGGGATATAGCTCAGCAACACAAGTACTTGCCTTTCAAATGTGAGGTCCTAAGTTTGATCCCTGGTACAAACAAAACAAAACAAAACGAAGGAAAAAACAGTTTGTGTGGTAACAGCAAAACTTTAGGAGCCACAAAATCAGAATTTTAGAACTTAATAGATGTTAAAATCATGTGACTCAAGTCATATTTTAAACTGTTGAACCTAGAGTCTGTGCTTAATTCTTACTGCTCAGTAGCCCAATGTTGTAAAGTAAATAAATCACATACTGTATCAGGTTAAGGTGATGACACTAAAATTACTTTTTCTAGGGCAATTAGTAAATGCTGAAAAAAAAGTCTTTGCTCAGCTTCTATTTCCTTTACTATCTTCCAGATCTTTACCACTTACCTCAAGTCTTTCTGTGTAGTATATTTCCACTTTCACCCAAAAACCTAGTCAAGATTAAACCCTGTAATTAAGCTCAACTGGTACTGTCCTCCTTTTTCCTGTCTCAACCCTATGAATTAGGTGATACCATCTTCCAGATAAAAATACAACTTGAACTGGGCACACTGGCATACTCCTGTAATTCTAGCACTCAGGAGGAAAGGCAAGAGTCTGTCCGCTACATAGTGGTTTTAAGGCCAGTATAAACTACATGGTGAGACTCTGACTCCAGAAACACCAAAGCCTAAATCCAGTTCCTGCGTACCAACCTCCTTTGCTTCCACCTTGGACTCAACTGCCAGCAACCTTTCCTACAGGTATAATCTCCATTTCTTTTAACATTTAAATCAGCTATCTTTTCTCCCTTTTCTCCTTGCTACATTGTAGGCCTTAATGGCAGCCAAAATGGTCCTTTAGAAACTGCCCGAAACATTCTAGAGGTCTTTCACTTTAGAATAGCAGCACATTCATAAGAAAATGTGTAAACACAATGGAGTACCACTGAGTTATAAGGAAGGAAAAATTTGTAGGAAAATTAATGTGCCTTAAGACTATAATGTTAAATGAAATAAATCAGACACTCAAATATCACATGGTTTCCCTTATGTGAGAAACCCAAAGTATAAGTAAATTAAATAGCCAAATAAAAGATAAAAACTAGGTGTTATGGTTTGTGTCTAGGTGTGCCCCAAC